AATATTTTTAAAATTGATTTTAGAGCCGAAACCGGTTTGGCTCAGTGGATAGAGCGTCAGCCTGCGGACTGAAAGGTCCCAGGTTCGATTCCGGTCAAGGGCATGTACCTGGGTTGCAGGCACATCCCCAGTAGGAGATGTGCAGGAGGGAGCTGATCGATGTTTCTCTCTCATCGATGTTTCTAACTATCTCTCTCCCTTCCTCTCTGTAAAAGTTCAATAAAATATCTTTTTTTTAAAAAAAAAAAATTGATTTTAGAGGGAGGAAGGGAGAGGGACCGAGATAGAAACATTGATGAAATGATCAGCTGCCTTCTGCATGCTCCCTACTGGGGATCAAGTCAGCAACTTGGGCATATACCATGACTAGAATCAAACGTCGATCTCCTTGTTCATGGGCTGTTACTCAACCACTGAGCCACACCGGCCAGACACAAGAAACTTCTTTTTAAAAAAAATATGCTTTTATTGATTTTTACAGAGAGAGGAAGGGCTGGGCCATGCTGGCCAGACCACAAGAAAATTCCTGATGGGAGGGCAGGTATTCCAATTCCCCCTGGACCCCTGGATTGAATGGATGGTAACTGGAAATTGTATTCAGCTTACAGTGCTGAGCTGCCCAGAACTCAATGGAACCACTTACTTCATAGAGAAGAAGAGCCAGATCACAAAATAGGGATTTTAAAAGTGAATGCAAAAGATCTAACAAACATAACTTAATCAACTTTACCCACTTTACACTTTCAGAGGAGAGCACAGCTTTTGATGAGTAGGAATTGTTTTTAAGTTTTTGTGGCAGCTTTTAAAGAACAAATCTCAGTTCTGCTGGAGTGGCTCAATGGTTGAGCATTGACCTATGAACCAGGAGGTCACAATTGATTCCCAGTGTGGGGCGTGCAGGAGGCAGCCAATCAATGCTTCTCTCTCATCATTGATGTTTCTACCTCTCTCTCTCCCTCTCCCTTCCTCTCTGAAATATATATATGTGTGTGTGTGTGTGTGTGTGTGTGTGTGTGTGTGTGTGTGTATCTATATAATAAAAGCGTAATATGCTAATTAGACCGGACGACCTTCCGGACGAAGCGGGGGCTGTGAGGGAAGCCTGGGTCCTGGGTACCAGAGGGAAGCCGGTGCTGACAGCCGGGGGAAGGAAGGCCTACTGTTGCACTAATTTTGTGCATCGGGCCTCTGGTATATATATGCAAGTCTCAGAATGTGTCTGAGCAATCCAGCCAATATTGAGACTATTTTCAAAAGAAGCAGATTGAGATAGAAGGAAATTATACTGTAATACACTTCCTCAAATTTTGGAAATGTGTGGATCGCAGAACTATCCTGAATTTTTGTTCTGTCAAAATTGAGTGTACACAATTCTGCAAGTGAACTTTTTCTTCATGAAATTGCTAAATGAAAGCTACGAGCCATCTTTAGAAGTATAAATTGAATTAAAATAAGATTGACATTTCATGAAGTATTACTATAACCATGCTTTTGAATGAGTAAAGTTGATGAGATATATTTTATTATTGTATTATTTTTTAAAATATATTTTATTGATTTTTTACCGAGAGGAAGGGAGAAGGATAGAGAGTTATAAACATTGATAGAAACATCGATCAGCTGCCTCCTGCACACTCCCTACTGGGGATGTGCTCGCAACCAAGGTATATGCCCTTGACCAAATCGAACGTGGAACCCCTAAGTCTTCAGGCCAACACTCTATCCACCGAGCCAAACCAGTTAGGGTTATTGTATTACATTTTAAAACAAGAACAAAGCTATAATACACAGTTGTTAATAAACTTCATGTGCAAATTCCTGATTTTACTATAACTTTGCTTTTTGTTTTGTTTTGTTAATCCTCACCCTAGGATTTTTTTCCATTGATTTTTAGTGAGAGGGAAAGGAAGAAGGGAGAGAGACTGAGAGAGAGAAACATCGATGTGAGAGAGACACATCAATTGATTGCCTCCTGCACATACCCTGAACTGGGACGGTGGATTGAGCCTGTGACCAAGGTACATGCCCTTGACAGGAATCAAACTTGAGACCCTTCAGTCCATGGGCTGATGCTCTATCCACTAAGCTAAACCGGCTAAGGCTTACTTTGCTATTTTTAATGGCATCTTTATCTTATTTATATTGAATATTTAATTGTTTTCTGATCATATAAACTATACAGGCTTATTTTTAGGTTAGAAATATATAACACAATAAAATAACTATTTATCCCAATGAACTTTACTAAGGAACAGAATTTATTTAACAAATGTATCCTGAACCCGTACTAAATTTCAGCCACTAGCCTAAGTGGTGGAATGATAAAGGTGAAGAACACCTATACCCCTGCCCTCTCCCACTGAACTGAGTCTGGTGCAGAGTGCGGACAAGGGCACAGGCAAATGCAGGAGATGATAGCGCTATCAGAGGGAAATACGGGGCGGTGATGTCAAGAACTTCTTGGAAAAACAAGCATCTTCACTGAGACCAGAAGAATGGGTAGCAATCACACAGGTACACCTGGGAGGGGGAGAAGTGGAAGATTGTCCCAGGCAGAGGGAACAGCAACCACAAGGCAGGAGAGGTAAGAGGTGGCCAGCAACTAGTCGTGGTGGAGAAACTGAAAGAACTTTGAGGTTCCTGGCTGGGTAGCTAAGCAGGTTAGGTTTTTGGGTACATACAAGAGTCAACCAATGAATGCAAAAATAAGTGGAACAACAAACCTCTCCCCGCACCCCTGTTCCTCTCAAATAAAAAAATAAAAATAAAAAACAAACAAAATTGGGGCTGGAGCAGGAAGTGAGGTGGAGAAGGAAGGATTCAAGACACAGCTGAAGAGTTTGCAGGACCCACATGCTGACCGGTCTAGGACAGCGGTTCTCAACCTGTGGGTCGCCAACCTGTGGGTTGCGACCCCTTTGGGGGTCGAACGACCCTTTCACAGGGGTGGCCTAAGACCATCGGAAAACACACACATAATTACATATTGTTTTTGTGATTAATCACTATGCTTTAATTATGTTCAATCTGTAACGATGAAAATACATCCTGCATATTAGATATTTACATGACGATTCATAACAGTAGCAAAATTACAGTTATGAAGTAGCAAGGAAAATAAATTTTTGGTTGGGGGGTCACCACAACATGAGGAACTATATATATTAAAGGGTCGCGGCATTAGGAAGGTTGAGAACCACTGGTCTAGGAAGCCTCAGTATGGTTTTGGGGTCTTGCCCTGAGGCCAACAGAATGCCTTTGACTTGAGTGTTCAAAGCAAAGTGGTTGTTTGATCACTTTTGCTCTCTGTGAAGATCACTTTGAATGTTCCATCCAGGATCATTTGTAGCAGCTGTTAACGTAAGAAACATTCAAACCTGCAGAGAATTTTTGTGAGTTTATTTGAACCAAACTGTGGACAGTTGCCAGAAGCAGAATCTCAACACATGGAGACAGTGCTCCGGAAAATGGTTGTTCACCCATTTTTATAAACCACCATCAGCGGTGACATACGCGGGTTACATGAAATCCATTGTTGATTGATTAGGGAGGCAGGAGAAAGTAAAGCGGGGAAACCTCTGGGATTGGATAAAAAGTAAGATGAGTCCAGCGTCAACCTAAGAACCAGGTCAGGGTATATGCCCAGCGGCGGGCTCCATCCCGTGTGGGGCGTGCAGGAGGCAGCCGAACAATGACTCTCTCGTCATTGATGTTTTTCTCTCTCCTTCTCCTTTCCTCTCTGAAATCAATTTTTTTAAAGAAGGATTAAGAGGGTGAAAGATAGCGGTAGGATCCAGTTCGAGCCGAGCCAAGTCGGTAGCACCGGGCACCCAGCTTCTGACACCTCCGCCTCGCCGCCCAGGCAGCCAGCTGAACGCAGGAGCCAGTCCGGGAGGTGAGACCCGGCCGGGCACCGCCCCGAGGCCTACGCAAGTGCAGTGGGGCCCGCGCGCCGCCCGCGCAGTCGGGGGACGCAGCCTCGGGCTCCCTGGCTGCGCGGCGCAGCGCTAGGCTCCCTGCGGCGCCCGCCACCCTCCTTTTCCCTACAGTCCGTCGCTCCGCGCGCCCGCCCCTTCCGGGTTTTGGCGCGCGTCCGCACCATCAGTCGCAGCGCCCATTGGCTGTTAGAGAGATACGAGAGCGGCGATTGGCTGTCGCTGACGTCGCTCAAGTGCCCTCCCGGAAATGGTCGCGGTGGAAAGGGGAGCTGGAGAGACGCCGGAGCCGAGGGGCGGTAGGTAGGACCCCGCGCCGGGTGGGCAGTGCGGGGGACCGCGGGCTTCGACACCGGGCTCTTCCCGGGTCGCCCCGGCGAGGCTTCCTCTCGCCGCTCGGCCACGGCGTCGGCCTGCTGCCTGCGCGCCCCAAACCTCCCTGCTGTCTCAGCTGGGTCCCCGCGGCGCTGCGACCCGGTCTCGCCCGCCTTCGGGGGCAGGGCCCGGGGCACTGCGGGGCCGCGCCGGAGAGGCGCTGCCCGCCGGGAGCGTCTCCTTTCTTCTCTCCGAACCCTATGTCCTTGCGGAGCCGGCGCCCACCGCGGGGGCGGGACTCCGTGTCCGCCTGCGCGCTGCGAGTTCTGCCTTCCCTCCGCGGGCGCTTTGTTTTGGTCGCTGTCGTCACGCGTCCGAGCCTTCCCTCTCCTGCCGAACCGTGAGTCTCGAGGAGGCGCGGAACCCGGTCCCTTCTTTGCCCGAGTGCCATTCGGGGTTCCGTCGGTGCCTTGCGTTGTACCCACCCGCCAGCACTTGCTGATGGCGTCTTCCCATGATTCCTGTGAAAAGTGTGAAGGACCCTCGGGTTTTCCGTTGGTTGACCTTTTTGTAGAATTAGATCAAGCTTAACATCAGCGCACCACCAGGAGCAAGGAGACGTCACGAGTAGCTAACATTTGTTGAGTTCGAGTGGTGTGTTTTGCTGAGCACTTTAATATTGTGTAAGTTGGTTCATAAATAAGTTCAGTGAGGCAGGCATAATTATTCCCATGTTACTTTGCCTAAGGTCGTGTAGCTAGTTGGAGCTTTCTGACTAGATCTGTTGTCTCCATTCCCCATTACTGAGATATTAGTATTCCTTTTTACATTTAAGGAAACAGGTTTAGAGAAGCTAAGTGATTTGTCCAATAATAAAATAATAGCTTCGTTGGTTAGAGCGTCCTGCCAAGGTTGTGGGCTCCATCCTCAGGGTGTATACAAGAATCAACCAATGAATGCGAAGGTGGAACAACAATCCGATGTTTCTCTATCTCTCCCTCCCTCTCTCTAAAGTCAGTGAATTTAAAAAAAGGTAATAAATTAAGTTTGCTTAAACATTAAGAGACCCCCTAGGAGGTATGTGCTGGCCCTGCAGATAGAACTGAACAGGGCGAGGGCCAGGCTCTCTAAGAGCTTCCAACATAGTGGAGGAAACTGACAAAGGAACTATTTAGTGAGCTGTTGTGGGGGTTGTGTATATAGATGTGATGTCTGCGGGAAGGAGGGAATCAAAAGGAGAAGTAAGACAGATATAGGAGGAAAATGGAGCTAAACTCATTGGCTTTGAATTCCTTTTCCATCAATCTCTAACTTTGTGGCATTAGGTAACTTACTTAACCTAATCGGCCCATTTCTTCATCAGTGAAGTAGGATAATAATGGTACCTACCTCAGTAGGGTTCCTGTATTCACTTTTATTTACTTATTAATATTTTTTATTTCAGAGAGGAAAGGAGAGGGGGAGAGAGAAACATCAGTGATGAGAGAATCATCGATCAGCTGCCTCCTGTACGCCCCACACTGGGGATGGAGCCTGAAACCCCGGCATGTACCCTGACCAGGAATCAACCTTGAACTCCTGATTGATAGGTCAGTTTTCAACCACTGAGCCACGCATGCCGGGCTATTAATGCATTTTTATATAAATAAGACGCTTTGAATAGTGCTTGACACTTACATTCTAGGCATAGCAAAGTCATTGAAACAAAAACTTGAACCCAGGTCTTACAGCTGGTCCAGTGCTCCACTACACACGTTGTTGCCTCCTTGCATTCCCTGCCTTGGGAAAATGTGGCGGTCAGATAGTCACTCTGTCCCATGACTCCCCGGGGTAGAAATAAGCAGGGCACAGGAGAGAAAGAAAGGAGGGGGGCAGTGAAAGAGGGATTCGGGGAACTTGCAAGGTTTCAGGTCACTCTAGATACCTGGTAGCCTGCTTCCTGGCTTTACCCCAGTCCCAGCAGCAGTGTGCTTAGAACATTTGTGCTCAGTACTGTGCTGGCCACAGTGTTAGGGACACAGGTGGGTGTGAAATGGCTTCTCAGAAGCAGCTAATATTGCCCAGTTGGGTAAATGAGAATAGAACACAAACAATCATGTTGACCATGAGCAGCATAAAAATAGGGTTGAGATTTTCTGGTGTCAGCCCAGCAAACCCATGTTTACCCCAGAGTGTGGAAGGTGACTAGATTCTTCTCGGGGGAGGGGCAAGGGCTGTAGATTGAAAAGGGGTTTCTCTGGTAAGCAGTTAGGTATAGTAGGTTCCTGTACTGGTGGGCATGCAGGATTTTATGTATTTTGTATTCTCTCTCTTCCCACCGCCTCTCAGTATGCAGTAGAGGCCTTTTTCGTAGGTCTTGCCGGTCTCAGGGAGGCCAGAGGGAGCAATGCCTACTCCCAGGGTCCACATGGTAGGGGCATTGAGAATCATTGAGAATTCTCCAGGTGAGGTGACACTTGGGACAGAGTCAAGGCCTCTAGCATCCTCTCATCCCCCAGAACTTTTGCTTACAGTGTCATCCTCTGCTGTTCTGTTTTCTTTTAATGGGGAAAATTCTATTGCTCTTCAAACTCTGTTCTGGAACTGCCCACCTGAGAATGGAGTGCTGAGTTAAAGGGGCAGATTTCTAGGCTTAACCCCAGCTTCCTGAATCCAAACCCCTAGGTGGGGAGCAGGAGAACTCTGCATTTGTATGCTTTATTAAAAGTTATTGTTTGTTTGTTTTAATATATTTTTATTGATTTGAGAGAGGATGGGAGAGGGAGGGAGAGAGAAACATCAATGATGATCGGCTGCCTCCTGCACGCCTCACACCTCATACTGGGAATAGAGCCTCAACCCGGGGATGTGCTCTGACCAGGAATCAACCTCGACCTCCTGATTCATAGGTTGAGGCTCAACCACTGAGCCACACCAGCCAGGCAAGAACCTTTCGTTTTTTATTTAGCTTTTTTTTTTTTTTTTTTTAAATATATTTTATTGATTTTTTACAGAGAGGAAGGGAGAGAGATAGAGAGTTAGAAACATCGATGAGAGAGAAACATCGATCAGCTGCCTCCTGCACATCTCCTACTAGGGATGTGCCCGCAACCCAGGTACATGCCCTTGACCGGAATCGAACCTGGGACCTTTCAGTCCGCAGGCCGACGCTCTATCCACTGAGCCAAACCGGTTTCGGCTATTTAGCTTTCTTCAACAAATATTTAATACATACTTAAGCATGCTGAATACACATTAAGTATGATATCAACTAGACAGATTTGGCTTCTTTTGTTCAAATCAAATCTGCATTTTATATATTTATTTATGTTTAGTACTCAGGCAAGAGGTTTATTAAAAAGCTCATGAGCAAGAGGGAGTTATCCCCTCCCCAAGGAAAAGGAAGAATGGGCTTCTCTCTCTTTTTTTTTTTCCTCTTTACATTTTTGTTTAGAGGATGTTAGGGGAGAGTCTGAGGAAACCACCGGGTAGGTTAGGGAAAGGCAGATTGTATGGCATTTTGAGAGTCTGGCAGGGGCGTTGTGATGTGATGCAGTAAGAAATAAGGAGCTTTGGGTTCATTTGCAGGCTGTGAGGTTAGAACAGCCGTGGGCAAACTACGGCCCGCGGGCCGTATCCGGCCCGTTTGAAATGAATAAAACTAAAAAAAAAAAAAAAAAAGACCGTACCCTTTTCTGTAATGATGTTTACTTTGAATTTATTAATTCACACAAACACTCCATCCATGCTTTTGTTCCGGCCCTCCGGTCCAGTTTAAGAACCCATTGTGGCCCTCGAGTCAAAAAGTTTGCCCACCCCTGGGTTAGAATAGAAGGAGCATGGACTTTGGAGTTAGCCCAACCTGACCTTGTCAGACCCAGTGTGTGGCCTTGAGCAAACCAGTTAATCTCTCTGAGCCTCAGGTCTTTATCTGTAAATAAAGTTAGCCTGGCGGCATGGCTCCTTGATTCAGCATTGACCTATGAACCAGGAGGGCACATGTCCAGGTTGCGGGCTCGATCCCCAGTGCAGGAGACAGCTAATCAACGATTCTGGTCATTGATGTTTCTCTCTCCCTCTCCCTCTTTGAAATCAATAAAAAAATATTTTTAAAAAATTGTGCTTACCTCATAGTGTGATGAAATTAAATTAACCGACATAATGGAAATGAAGCGCTTAGTATGGTGTTTGGCATATAGTAAGTGCGAAATTAAAAACAAGGTTTTGGTACCCCATTTTGAAGCTGCTGATGTTCAGGAGTAGGAGGGTTGTTACTTGGCTGAAGTCACACAGCTAATAGATGCTGGTCCCCGGAGTCTGGATTTGCACTGGTTCTTCTCCAAGGCCATCTCTGAACCTGAGCTTTGTTCTGCTTCCCACAGGAGTCATTCCCAGGTGGGTTGCTCTGAAGCTATATGAGAACATGTTAAAGTTCTTAGCTCCGTGCCTGGCACGTGCTAATAAACTAGGTTAGTTTGTGCTCTCCTTTCCCGAGAACACAGAAAGCTTCGGGATTTTGAGGAGCTCTTCCATCCTTGTTGGAAAGGCACAGGCTTTCTCCCAGGCAGCTGGAAAGACTCTGCTGCAGGTTCTGGGAAGGCTGCCTACCAGGCTCACCCCTAGCCACACGGGTGTAACCCTGCAGCTGTGGACCTTTTCCTCCTCCTCCAGGGTGAAGGCCATGCCGCCCCCTGGGAAAGTTCCCCGAAAGGAGAACCTGGGGCTACAGTGTGAGTGGGGGTCCTGCTCCTTTGTGTGCTCAGCCATGGAGGAGTTCTGCGAGCATGTCACTCAGCACCTGCAGAAGCACCTGCACAGCTCGGGGGAGGAGGAGGAGGAAGAGGAGGAGGACTTGCTGGGTAAGCAGAACACGGGAAGGGAAAGAGCTGGAGGGAAGGTGGGGCATCTGACTTTCCTTCCCGCAGACGGAGAAGGCAGCCCAGGAAAGTGGTGGTTTAATTTCCTAACTGTGCTTTTGTTGTTTATAAAAACACTAGGGGGCTGGTACACGAAATTCGTGCACTGGGTGTGTGTGGGGGGGTGGGGGGAGTGTCCCTCAGCCCAGCCTGCCCCCTCTCACATACTGGGAGCCCTCAGGCGTTGACTCCCATCACCCTCCAATTGCAGGATTGGCCCCTTGCCAGGCCTGATGCCTCTGACAGAGGTGTCAGGCCTGGGCAGGGGACCCTCATTTCCCCCCATCACTGGTTCTGCCCCCAGCCCAGGCCTGATGCCTCGGCCAGAGGCGTAGACCCCCATCACCCTCCGATCGCCTGATCGGCCCCTTGCCAAGGCCTGACGCCTCCGCCAGAGGTGTCAGGCTTGGAAGGGGACCCCCATCTCCCCCCGATCACTGGCTCTGACCCCCGCCCAGGCCTGAGGCCTCTGGCCCAGGAATCATGCCTGGGCAGGGGACCCCCATCTCCCTCTGATCGCTTGCTCCACCCCCCGCCCAAGCCTGACGCCTGGGCAAGGGGACCATCATATCCCCCCAATCCCCAGCTCCGCCCCCCCCAGCTCCCCGCGGTTGCAGGCTCCGCCCCTGCCCAGGCCTAACGCCTCTGGCTTGGGCGTCCGGCCCGGGCAGCGGGGACCCGCAGCTGCAGCGGCCCCGCGATCGTGGGCTCCGCTTTAGGCCCAGGCAAGGGACCCCTAGCTCCTGGGACTGCCAGCTTCGACTGTGCCCAGCTCCCATCGCTGGCTCCACCCCTACTTCCTGCTATCACTGGCCAGGGCGGCAAAGGCGCCTGATTCACCGATCATGGCTGGGGGACAGGGCAAAGGCGGCCCCAGGGCCGCCTTTGCCCTGCCCCCCAGCTCTTAGCTCCCCCCTGGGTTTCCAATCACTGTCAGTGGCAGGGGGCTTCTTCCTGCTTTCCCTTTCGCCTCCCTGCATTGTGCCTACATATGCAAATTAACCGCCATCTTGTTGGCAGTTAATTTGCATATAGCCCTGATTAGCCAATGAAAACGGTAGCGCCGTACGCCAATTACCATTTTTCTCTTTTATTAGTGTAGATTGTAGATGCATAGAAAACTCATTCGACAAGGATTTTCAACATGAATCTGCTATCTTCCCATCAAAAGGCAATTATTGACAGTACTTTTGTGAACATTCTTTTTGACCTTTCTCTACATGTGATAACTGATATTTTTATATGTATTTCTAAACAACCAGACACATAAAAGTTCTTAATTCATTAATCCTCTCATGGAAAATCTGCAGTCACCACAGAAAAAGCCACTGAAGAACCTTTACTCCTATTGTCCTGACTCCAGCCCACTGTTTGCAGCACCAACACTGGCCTTTGTAGTTCCCTGGCTTTCTTCATTCTGTCCTTGCATTCATTTCCCAATTCTTTTCTTAAGGTCTTCTTTTCATATAGGTCATGACTTGCTAGTCTGTTTGGGTTCATTTTTCTTTGAGCAATCCCAGGAACAAATCATGACATGCCCAGCTGATGTGTCAGTGGTTGAGCGTCGACCTATGAACCCGGAGGTCACGGTTCGGTTCCCTGTCAGTGACATGCCCAGGTTGTGGGCTCAATCCCCAGTGTGGGGTGTGAGGAAGGCAGCCAATAGATGATTCTTTCATCATTGATGTTTCTATCTCTCCCTCTCCCTTCCTCTCTGAAATCAATAAAAATATTTTTTTAAGTTAAATAAAACATGACAAAGCTAGTTAGTTGTGGTACCACCACCAAAATGGATTCTGAATCTAAACGTAGAGATGACATCTGGTGTGGTCTTGTACATTTTGGCTAGTTTTTCCTGAATTTCTGTCTTAGGAACTGTTGACTTCCCAGGGAAAAGGATGTCAGCGACCCTTTGTTTCGTTAAAGTATTCTGTTAGTCATGAACTTCCTGATCTGCATAGTTACTGTGTTGTTCATGACAGCAGCTGATCTTCAAGCCTGGTTTTCCTGTTATTTATTTATTTACCTATCTTCTATATATATCCTATCTAATAAAAGAGAAACATGGTAATTAGCCATACATCCGCTACCCTTCCCATTGGCTAATCAGGGCGATATGCAAATTAACTGCCAGCCAAGATGGCGGCCAGCAGCCAGGCAGCTTGAAGCGAACATGAGGCTTGCTTGCTTCAGTGACAGAGGAAACAATGTTCCCCGCCTGCCTTGCCGGCCTCTGAGCTTGCAGTTTGAAACATTGTTACAAGTATAGAAGCTAAACAAAACTCCAGAAACCTGCTTTCAGCCAGCCGGGATCTCAGAGCTGGAGTTGAAACAGTGTTTCGATTATAGAACCCAAACAAACCAGATAACTGCTTTCAGCAGCAGAGGCCTCAGAGCTGGAGCCAGAGCTAAAGCTGGCCCAGAATAAAAAAGAAAAAAGAAAAAAAGGAGCGGTTGGGAGCTTCAGTCACCCGCCAGCCTGAAAACAGCCCTCAGCCCCTCACCCAGACTGGCCAGGCACCCCAGTGGGGACCCCCACCCTGAAGGGTGTGTGACCAACTGCAAACAGCCATCATCCCCTCACCCAGGCTGGCCAGGCACCCCAGTGGGGACCCCCACCCTGATCCAGGACACCCTTCAGGGCAAACCAGCCGGCCTCCACCCGTGCACCAGGCCTCTATCCTATAAAAAAGGCGAAAGATTTATGCGATCTGAAGAGAAACCAGAGTATGATCCTATATAGTAAAAGGGTAATATGCCTCCCAGCACTGGGATCAGCAGAGACGCGAGGCCTCCCGGCACCGGGATCAGCGTGACAGGGGGCAGCGCCCAAACCCCCTGATTGCCCTGCGGCTCTGTATGTGACGGTGCGGCGCCCCACCCCCCCCGCCCCCATGGGCCCTGCTCTGTGTGTGATGGGGTAGAGCCATAACCTCCCCATCGTCCCTGCCCTGAGTGTGAGAGTGGCGGCGTCCCAACCCCCTGATCGGCCCTGCTCTGTGGGTGATAGAGGGCGGCGCCCCAACCCCCTGATCTGCCCTGCTCTGTGTGTGACAGGGGGGCAGTGCCCCAACTCCCCTATCGGCCCTACTCTGTGAGTGACAGGGGGGAGCTCCTCAACCCCCTGATCGGCCTTGCTCTGTGCGTGACAGGGGGGAGCTCCCCAACCCTTTGATGGGCCCTGCTCTGTGCGTGACAGGGGGTGGCGCTGCAACCTCCCCATCGACCCTGCCTTGAGTGTGACAGGGGGTGGCGCCCCAACCCCCCAATCGGCCCTACCCTGAGCGTGACTGAGGGTGGCATCGCAACCTCCTGATCTGCCCTGCTCTGTGCATGACAGGGGGCGGCGCCCCAACTCCCCAATCGGCCCTGCTCTGAGCCCGACCAGGGGCTGCACCTAGGGATTGGGCCTGCCCTCTGCCACCCGGGAGCAGGCCTAAGCCAGCAGGTCGTTATCTTCCGAGGGATCCCAGACTGCGAGAGGGCACAGGCCGGGCTTAGGGACCCCCCCCTCCCCCCTGAGTGCACAAATTTTTGTGCACCGGGCCTCTAGTATATATATAAAAGGTTAAGTGACCATCTGACCAGCCTGTAGGTATGATGCGCACTGACCACCAGGGGGCAGATGCTCAACACAGAAGCTGCCACGCTGTGGTGACTTGGCAGCGGTGGTTCTTGGGTGACGTACCCTGGAGCCAGAGAGGAGGGGCCTGATTCTGGGGTGTGTCACCCAAGAACTGCCCTTTCATAATCCGGGACCCCTCGGGGGATGTTGGAGAGCCAGTTTAGGCCCAATCCCCACAGGCCAGGCCGAGGGACACCACCTGTCAGAGGGACCCCACTCACTCCACAGATGCCCTTCGAGCTGCGGGGCCACCCCAGGTGCCACCATCCAGGGAGGGACCACGGGAGGTTGGCTGTAGGGTATGTCCAGCCTGTCTCACCCAGTCCTGCCAGCCACCTTCTAATTAATTTCCTTTCAATGTGCATGAATCCGTGCACCAGGGCACTAGTTTTTATATATATATATATATATATATATATATATATATATATATATATATATATATATATATTTTGTTGTTGATTTCAGAGAGGAAGGTAGAGCTAGATAGAAACATCATTGATGAGAGAGAATCATTGATTGGCTGCCCCCTGCACGCCCCACACTGGGGATTAAGCCCACAACCCAGGCATGTGCCCTTGACCAGAATCGAACCCAGGACCCTTCAGTCTGCAGGCTGACACTCTATCCACTGAGCCACACCGGCCAGGGCTGACTTTCCTTTTATATTGTACAAGCTGTTGGCATCCTGCTGTTTTCACTCCCTGGTAAGTGTTTCTCTCTCTTTTTTTTAATGTGACTACCAATTAAGAATACATTTTACATCACAACCCTATACACAAAAGTTAAAAAACAGCCCTAACCGGTTTGGCTCAGTGGATAGAGCGTCAGCCTGCGGACTCAAGGGTCCCAGGTTTGATTCTGATCAAGGGCATGTACCTTGGTTGCGGGCACATACCCAGTAGGGAGTGTGCAGGAGGCAGCTGATGGATGTTTCTAACTCTCTATCCCTCTCCGTAAAAAATCAATAAAAATATATTTTTTAAAAAATGAAAAAAAGAATAGAAATAAAAATCATCATTCAAAAATCATTCTCCCCTTTAAAAAAAAAGTTAAAAAACATTTGGAAAAATGTTTAACTTTATTAAATGCTCTCTGAAGTATTCTCTTATTCTATTTTTTTTTTTAAAGAAAAAAATGTGGCCTGGCTGGTGTGACTTGATTGGTTGAGCGTTGTCCTTCACTCCGAAAGGTTGCTGTTTCGATTTCCGGTCAGGTCACACACATGGTTGCGGGTTCGATTCCTGGACGGAAGGCAACTGATTGGTGTTTCTCTTTCACATCAATGTCTTCTTCCTTCCCTTCCTCATTTCCTCCTCTCTCCAAGCGTGTCCTTGGGTGAGGATTACAAGAAAGGAAGAAAAAAATGTGGTTTGCAATCCCCTAAATTGATTTCGCCACCCACTAATAGGTCACAGCAGAGTTTGAAATATAGAAAGTACAGAGATCGCTCCCTTCAAATTCTGTTTGAAGTCATGACTGAAATATGTAACTAACAGTGTCAAAAGCCAAATGATATTTACACAAAAGAGAAATTAGGGGATTATTTTCAAAAGTATCTACTTTTCAAAACAAGTAAACCCGTATAAACATTGAAAATATGGTGCTTAGATTGAATGGCTGACGGGCCTTCCTGTAGAAGACAGATCTTGAGCAGAACATGGAAGAAGGATTCGTAGTTTGGCACAAGGAGCAGGGCTGTCCCGGTTGGGAAGCAGCATCTTCCACAGGGAGCAGTGGACACTCAGCCAGGGAACTGCATGCCACTCACCCCGCCGCTGAACTTCTGGCGCTGGGACTTGCACACACCGCCCCTCTGCCTCGATCACACTTCTCCACTCTTTTATAGACACTCGCCCGTCAGATCTTAGCACAGGGGCACTCCAAGACACCCGTCTCCCTGTGTTTATTTTGGAGGGCCATGTCTCCACCTGCAGAGAACTTACGATTGGTCACAGTTTGTAATTATATATGTGATTATTTGATTCGTGCTTTTCCACTCTGGCTGGAAGCTATGTAAGGCTGGGACTCTTTCCTTGTGACAGTCCAGCACTTGGCACACAATGGTGGTCAATGTTGCTGAATGACTGGCAGTTTGGTGAGGGTGCAGCCTCCTCACCTGCTGCTAAGTGCCACAGGTGGAAGGAGAGCTGAGCGTCAGAAAGCATCATGTTCTCTCTAAACCCCTTTCTGCAGAGGAAGAATTCTCCTGCTTATGGCAGGAGTGTGGCTTTTGTTCTCTGGACAGTTCTGCTGACCTTGTCCGCCACGTCTACTTCCACTGCTACCACACGAAGCTGAAGCAGTGGGGGCTGCAGGCCCTGCAGAGCCAGGCCGACCTCAGCCCTTGCATCCTGGACTTCCACAGCCGCAACATCATCCCTGACATCCCTGACCACTTCCTGTGTCTGTGGGAGCACTGTGAGGTCAGCAGGCAGTTACCAGAAATAGGGGTGGGAGAAAGATGCAGGTTTGAACTCAAGAGTCCTTGATCCTTTCTTTGGACCCTTATATTTCTGAGGCTCCTGCTAGTATCTCCTTCATGTCTGGGTAGCTCAAACATTCCCGTCCTCACAGAGTTAATTTGGGAGGGAGCCAAGAGGTCCCCTTCGGGCACATGGGGGTAAGAGTCCCTCCGCCCACCCTCAGTTCTTACCCCAAGTTGCTCCTGGCACAGAGCGCCTTCGACAATCCTGAGTGGTTCTACCGGCACGTGGAAGCGCATAGCCTGTGCTGTGAATACAAAGCCGTGGGCAAGGACAACCACGTGGTGCTGTGTGGCTGGAAAGGTAGGGTCACTCCTTAGCTTCTGGCCTCTGAAGAAACCCTGGGATTGCTGAAGGGTGCTGGGATGGTCCTGCAGGGCACGGCTGGCTGCTTCTGGAGAGACTTGGGGGTCCAGAGCCTACGCCGCGGGTTTGTGCTGGAGCATGACTGGCCCTTCCTTCCCAGGCTGTACCTGTACCTTTAAGGACCACTGTAAGCTTCGCGAGCACCTCCGCAGCCACACCCAGGAGAAGGTGGCGGCCTGCCCCACCTGCGGGGGCATGTTTGCCAACAACACCAAGTTCTTAGACCACATCCGTCGCCAGACCTCACTGGATCGTAAGCAGTCAGAAGACGTGGGTGCAGGCTGTTTAGCCTGTGGGGTTGGGGGCATATTTCCAGGGGTATATGCAACTTGGCTGCATCTACCTGTAGGGCTCAGGCACCTGCCCAGCCTCTGCGGACTCGGAGTTATTAGACATTGTTCCTCTGAGCTGACTGTGCCTGTCAGCCACCTTAGTGAGTCTGCACAGCAGCCCCATGAGGTAGGCTTCTTATCCCCCTTTTTGCAGATGAGGAAGCTAAGGCTCAGAGAGCTTAAAATCACTTACTTGAGACCACACAGCTAGTAAGTGTCCAAGCCGGGATTCTAACTCAGGGTCTCCATGCCAAGTCCCACGCTCCTTCCATGATACTGTCCCTCCCAGTTCCCTAAACTCCCCTTGTCTCCTCGGGGTGGTTCCCTTTTGCCTGGGAGGCTCCCCTCTCTGGGACCCGTTCTCCCCTCTACCTCCACCATCTTCTGCAGCCATCCTTTCTTTTCCTGCCCTGCCCCAGAGCAACGCTTCCAGTGCTCTCACTGCTCCAAGAGGTTTGCCACTGAGAGGCTGTTGCGGGACCACATGCGTAACCATGGTGAGTAATTGGACACACCAGCCTCCCTGCCCACCCCCAAGGTTCCCCTGGCCCTTAGATCACAGCCTCCTCTGTTCCTCAGTGAACCACTACAAGTGCCCTCTGTGCGATATGACCTGTCCCCTGCCATCCTCCCTCCGCAACCACATGCGCTTTCGCCACAGCGAGGACCGGCCCTTTAAATGCGACTGTTGTGACTACAGGTAAGGGGAACTAGGGGCCGGAAATCACAGACCTGGTGTTCTAGAATCCTCACGCCCTCCCACCCTCCTGACCTCTCCTGGCAGCTGCAAGAATCTGATCGACCTCCGGAAGCACCTGGATACCCATAGCAAGGAGCCAGCCTACAGGTGTGATTTTGAGAACTGCAACTTCAGCGCCCGAGCCCTCTGCTCCGTCAAGTCCCATTACCGGAAAGTGCATGAAGTGAGTGGGGCTGGGGTGGGAAGGGTCAGCAGAGTGGGAGGGGGGCTGAAGAGCTGACCTCCCTCTCCCCGCCCATCAGGGTTACTCAGAGCCAAGGTACAAATGCCACGTGTGTGACAAATGCTTCACCAGGGGTAACAACCTCACCGTACATCTTCGCAAGAAGCACCAGTTCAAGTGGCCCTCAGGGCACCCCCGTTTCCGGTATGTCTCAACCTTCCCATAGATTCACACATTTTTCCCCATATTCAAATTAAAATTTTTAATTTGATAGTGCTTTGATGCCCTCCATTCCTATTTAGGCTCAAGGAACCCCAAGAATAGCAGTGAGTGAGGCAAAGATTATTTTTCTGACTTTTGAATTCAAGACAGTGACAAACCCAATAAACGGTGCTCAAAGTCCTGCAGCCAAAATAGAAGTAGAGCCTAAAGGTCCAGAACCGTAGCTCCTTGACCTCACCCTCCACTAATAATTTCTCATTTTTCCCCCTTCCTCCCTCACCCCCACCCTCTGGGTTTCTACATAAAAGTTTCCATTTTGAGTAGTGATTCTTCCCTCTTGCTTTTATATCCTAATAAAAATCTCTCTGTCTTCAACTCCATCCCTTAGAATCCCAGGGCTGCCTCAACAAACCTTGAGTTTGTTCCTTACTTGCCACGCCCACCTTTTCTATGGCCCGCCCGTGCTTGCTGCCCTGTGCACTTCTGCTTCCCCAGGTACAAGGAGCATGAGGACGGCTACATGCGGCTGCAGCTGGTTCGCTATGAAAGTGTGGAACTGACACAGCAACTGCTGCGGCAACCACAGGAAGGCTCGGACCTGGGAGCGGCCCTGAACGAGAGCAGCCTACAGAGCATCATTCTAGAAACAGTACCCGGGGAGTCAGGGCCCCAGCACGAGGCGGAAGAGGAGGGCCGAGGTGGGGAGGACAGCCTCTCAGCCTCTCAGGACACCCCCAGTCCTGTCATCCATGTGGTGAATCAGGCCAATGCCCAGGAGATTGTCTACTATGTGCTGTCCAAAGCCCCGGGAGAGTCCCCCGCCAGCCCCTGAGTCCCCCCCAGGGGCATCATGGAGAAGCTTCAGGGAGTGGCTGGGAACCAGAAGTCCGGGTGGTCTGAAGGCGGTCGAGCAGCAACATTCCTGGCCAGGCTGGGTTTGAGCCAGGCTGGTGGCAGTGCCCCTTGGGGCAGTCCTTGCCAGTGGGTGCCTTTTGGCGGGTGCTAGGAATATTGTGGTCCACTCAGGATCTGGCTTGCATCAGTCAGCAGACTCTAAGGACTTGCCTTTTCTGCCACACCATGCTTTTGTGGAGACCCTGAGGAGTAGGGACTCTGAGGTGGATAGCCTGGTTGTGTATGTCTTCTCGTAGAGGGAGCTAGTATCAGGCTCAACCATGACTCCTAGACATGCTGGAGCAGTGATGAAAATCCTTAGCTGGCACCCACTCCCATCTTAGGGTTTCTCGGGCCCAAGGATGACCTGGATCTAGTCCCTGCTGTGGCCCTTCCTTTCACCCACCCAGCCGAGGCTGTGTCCCAGGAGCCACTTCCCTCCAAACGATTCTTCCTGCCACCCAAGGACTCCGCGTCACTCTCAGGGCCGGGGCGGGGCAGTGTGTGTAGTGCTTGTGTTGGTAATAAATGCGTCTGCTGTTAGTCTTCCCCGTGTTTGGTGCAGTTAACTAGGTAATGAGATACAGCCACCCAGAAGAAGAGCTGGGTAATAAGGCTTGTTCCCCTTTTAGTGGCTGGGGTTTCTGTTCCCAGCTTGCCTCCCCCTGCTTTTGTGAAATGTCCATTTCTTCTCAGCATCTACCCTCCTGGAGGTCCCAGGCAGAGGCCATGAGTTTATAATAGCAGCACTCTAGAACAGGTGAGTGGGGCTAGCCACGAAGATACAGCGCCAGACCAGGCACTCACCTCCTGAGTGCCTCTGGGGTAGGCAGTTCTTTACCTCTGGGGCTGGGACTGGGGAGGAGGCTGGCAGTGAGGGTGGATTTGGAGGCCTAGAGACTGGTAGGTATTTGGAGTCCAGAACTAAGGTGGAAAATTGTGTGTGTGAGTGCATTTTCCTGGGGAAAGAGTCTGATTTTCATCAAGTTCTCAGAGGTTGGAGCCCTCCAAAATAAGAATTAGGCGTGTCCAGCCACTTCTCAGTAACTTATGTCCATTCTAAGGGTCTCTGCGCTCTGGAGAGGCCAAGAAAGGATTCTCCGGAGTCTTGGATGGGCAAGGAGCTGCCCAACAAGAGTTTCTGGGCCTTTTTTAAAAAAATATATTTGATATTTTACAGAGAGGGAGGGAGAGGGATAGAGAGTTAGAAACATCAATGAGAAACATCGATCAGCTGCCTCCTGCACACCCCCCACTGGGGATGTGCCCTTGACCAGAATCAAACCTGGGACCCTTCAGTCCGCAGGCCGACGCTCTATCCACTGAGCCAAACCAGTTAGGGCTGGGCCTTTTTAAAAAGACCAGATTTAATTCTTATTACAAAAGCTGTGCCAGTTGCAGAAGGGAATAGGAAAGAAAAATCATTAGTTCCATCAGCCATTCACTGAGTTCCTCCTATAGTCCAGGCACTGTGACAGGTGCTAAGGATGCAAAGATGAATAAAACCTAGGACCTGCCCTAGAGGGGCTAGCAGTACAGAGGCAAGGAAAGTTCTAGGTAAGGGAAATGATAGAACCCCGTCAAGGTTCATTTAAAAGGCTGAAAATCGGAGTAGACAGTATTTGGGCAGGGGATTGAGGAAGGCTGCATTGAGGAAGTGATCAGAGCTACCGTTGGGCATGTCCAGCCACTTCTCAGTAGCCTATGTCCTACTGAGACAAAGGGGCAGGCACGGCATTTCAGGGGGGAGAAACAAGGCCTGTGAACGAAGCTACAGAGGCAGGTGATGGTCTGGCACAGAGCCACAGCCGTGGACAGACAAGACTGGGGAGGAAGACAGGACCAGCAAGGACCGAATAAAGTTCTAGAGATGCCCAGCAGGCGTGGCTCAGTGGTTGAGCGTCAACCTATGAACCCAGTCGGGCCTTATGCCCGGGTTGTAGCCTCGAGCTTTAGTGGGGGCCATGCGGAAGGCATCCAGTCAATGGTTCTCTCATTGCTGTTTCTATCCTCCCTTCCTCTCTGAAATAAAAAAATATATTAAAAAAAATAAAGGTCTAGAGTGGTGATTCTGGTAATGGCTGTTGCTGGAATTCAGTCAAGAAATAAAAGCTTAAAAGCTTGCCCTAGACCAGTGGTTCTCAACCTTCCTAATGACGCGACCCTTTAATACAGCTCCTCATGTTGTGGTGACCCCCAACCATAAAATTATTTTCGTTGCTACTTCATAACTGTAATTTTGCTACTGTTATGAATCGTCATGTAAATATCTGATATGCAGGATGTATTTTCATTGTTACAGATTGAAGATAATTAAAGCATAGTGATTAATCACAAAAACAATATGTAATTATATATGTGTTTTCCGATGGTCTTAGGCGACCCCTGTGAAAGGGTCGTTCGACCCCCAAAGGGTTGAGAACTGCTGCCCTAGATGGTTTTGCTCAGTGGATAGAGCAGGGTCCTGGGTTCAGTTCCAGTCAGGGGCACATTGCCTGAGTTACAGGCTCGATCCCCAGTAGGGGGCGTGCAGGAGGTAGCCATTGATGTTTCTATCCCTCTGAAATCAGTAAGAGTATATTAAAAAGATAACAAAAGCTTTAAAGCTATAGCGGTGTTGATGTCCACTTTGCCTCCACAAGAGCCCTTTTGTGAAATGGCAATGTGGAAGAGAGAACACAGGAATTAAACATTTCCACAAGCAAACCTTGATTGGACGTTCAGTGGTTAGAGTCTTATCAGGCTACTCCAGGGTTCGGGTTCCATCCCCAGTCTGGGCGCGTATAAGAATCAGCCAATGAGCACGTGAATAAGTGGAACAACACATCACTCTCTCCTTTCCTTTATAAAATCAAAAGTTTAAAATTTTTTCCACAAGCAAAGCCACTGCATTTCCAGGCTTTAGGATCCTGTACCGTTTGCCTCCACACCCGGTCCCTCCACTAACTGAGTGTAATTCCTGTTCCACCACCAGGCCAATGGAGGCTTTGGGCTAAGTAGTGCCCTCAGTTTCTGTTATGTCTCATATATGATCTGGGGTTCCCTCCCCAAACCCACGTCCTCCGGGCCTGTGGTTTTGGTGGTTACAGCACTGTCCCCCGGGACCCCTAAGGGTTTTTTGTGGGGTTTTCCCCCACACGTTTTGCTATTGCCCAATCCATGTTCCTTCACTGTGTATGTATGTAGATGTCACTGTGGACCTAACAGCAGGCCCTCATGTTTGTTCCTATTAAATGTTGCCTTGTTCTACTTGATTGACAACCAATTGGTGGGCTAAGAGGCTGCATAGAACAGGTCTCAGACCCCAACGGCAAGTCATTGGAGACCTTCTTCCTAACCAAAACCAGATGCTTTTAAGGCAGTGGTTCTCAACCGTGGCTGCACATTAGAATCACCTGGGAATCTTTTTAAAATCCTGACTCCTGGGCCTCATCCTCTGGAAATTGTTTCTTTGTTATGGGGTGGGGCACAACATTAGTATGAAAGAAACAGGATTTCCGGAGGATGAGGCCCAGAAATCAGGATTTTAAAAAGATTCCCAGGTGATTCTAATGTGCAGCCAAGCTTGAGAACCACTGTTTTAAGGGCTCTAATCCCTAAAACACTAGTGCCTCATTCTCCATATAGAATTAAAAAATGAAAATATGAAACATATAAGGGATTCAAACATGATTACACTTACAAAAATACGTACATGTATATAAAAATCTGATCACTTTTTTGCTTTCAATTTTTAATATGTTTTTATTGATTTCAAAAAGGGAGTGGGAGATAGAAACATCAGTGATGCTAGAGAAACTGATCAGCTGCCTCTCACAGGCTCCCATGTGGGGACTGAGCCCACAACCCAAGCATGTGCCTTCCAGCTCCCCTGGAGCAAAAGCAGAAGATGGACCGCTGGTTGGCCCACAGCCATGGCCTGACAGGACATGGATTACCTGGGGCCAAGGAACAGGGTAATTAGAGCCGCTGGAGAAGGGTCAAGGGATCCAGTCTGGATAGGAGGCCTTTGAGACGGGAAGGTGGTAGCTGGAGTCAGCCCTGAAGGCTCCAGCAAGGCTTCGGAAGGCTGGAGGGCAGAGGGGAAGGCTGTGGTCAGAAAGGTGACATTTTTAAATGGAGCCCAGGGTATGTCCACAGGGAGGTGGACTGCTGAGTGGAGGCAGAGGTCACGGAGCAGAAGAGACCAAGGGAAAGAAGGCATTTTAACCACCAGCAAGGGCCTTTCTGCCTTTCCGGCCTCCAGCCCTGTACTAGGAGGAGGGAGCAAGTCCCAGAGCAAAGCTGGGGGGACACCTGGTTGGAAGCTGTTGCCAAGCACAGGATACAGAAAAGGGGTTTGGTGGGAATTCAAATTCTAGGGAAGAAAGGCAACAAGCTGAGCCTGGGAGAAGTGGGTGGGTTCCCATGGAAAGGGACGGGCAGAGAACCTTGGCATTCTGCAGCTTGGGAGGACGCCTCCCTTTTTTTAAAATCTTTATTGTTGAAAGTATTATATATGTCCCCTTTGTTCCCCCATTCACCCCTCCAGCCGCGCCCTCCCCTCCCCCCGCAGATCCTCACTTCTTATTTAAGAAGAAAACTGCACTAGCCCTGGCCGGCGTGGTTCATTGTCGTCCTGGGTACAGAGGGGTTGCCGGTTTGATTTCCAGTAGGGGACATCTCTAAAAATCAATTTTAAAATCCTTTAAAAATTAAAAGAAAAATGGCACTATATAGTAGGGGAGAGATGGAGAGATAAATATTACACTTTAAAAATATACTTTGATATTGATTTTGTTATATGCGTTATAGTCTTATACTTTTAAAACAATATCAATTCTTTAAAAAGCAACAGCAGGGACTGTGACTAGTAGCTACACCTGCACTACCTGGTCTCAGGTGCCTATGCCCCACTTCCCTGCTGGCCTGGGGCGGAAGTGGACTCCCAGGCTCCTCCATCCACTCTTCATTCCGTCCTGGGCGCATTTCTCCATGTGGCCAGCAGAGGAGCCTTCCACTGACAAACACACTAAAACCATTTCATCCAAAGATGAGAGAGTCACAGTGGGCAAGGCAGGCATGGTGGATGCGGGACCTGGGGTGATGGAAGTGGAACTGGATCAGTTCCAAAGTCCAATTCCTTTCCCGAGGTTATCTTGAGAGAATGAAGAGCCTGTCTAGAGGCTGGAGGGAAACAGTTGTTTGGGAATAGGATTCTGAGAGGCCCCATAGAAGTACCCAAGTACTTTAGGGTTCAAGCCCTGCTCTGCTACCAACTAGACATGCCCCCTTGGGTACATTGCTTAACCCCATGATTCAGTTTCTTTTTAAATATATTTTTATTGATTTCAGAGAGGGAGAGGGAGAGAAACATCAATGACGAGAGAGAATCATTGATCGGCTGCCTCCTGCACACCCCCTACTGGGGATCCAGCCCTCAACCCAGGCTTGTGCCCTGACCAGGAATCCAACCATGATTTCCTGGTTCATAGGTCAGTAGCTCAACCACTGGGCCACACCAGCCCAGCATCTATGCTTCAGTTTCTTTATCTCTAAAGAGAGATTGTAATTCCTGCCTTATAAGGATTTTGTGAGGATTAAATTGGATAATGTCCATAGTAGTAGCTCAATAAATGCAACTGTTGGGGTGTCTATAGTGGGCATTGCAGGTGTGAGGGAGGAGAAACTTTCCTCTACCCTCAAGTTTCTTTTGGCTGGTGTAATAGACATGAGACAGATTAGGGGGAGAAAATGACCAATTAATTACTTATGTATGGGAAACCCATATACATGAGAGAGTCAGAGACCCCCCACATACATGAGAGGTTCAGAAAGTGGAAGTGTGGTGTATAGACACTTCGAGCGGGGGCAAGGTAAGACAGCTTGGGAACTTCCACGGGTCACTGCAGGGCGATAATGGATGTCTGGGAAATTAGCAGTTGCCTTGCCCTATGGATGGGTGAAAAGGGTTGTCGCTGATAACCTCTTCTTGTGGGAGGTCCCCTACTTCAAATTCCTCTCTGTGGCTGAGAGTGGTGGTGGAGGTGTTCTCTTGAGCCTGCAGTCTTGGTTGCCTCTAACTCAGAACAACCCGCGTATCACAGAAGCGCGCCTTGGGCTGACTCGTTCTGAACTCCTACAGCGGTTAACCTGCAGAATCAAGGGTCCGTCTGCACAAGGGAACATGGTTCCGGAGGAATGGCGGCGATGCAGCGCAGGGGGAGGGAGAAGGCCGGGAGGGCCGGCTCCCAAACCAGTCACAGGGTGGGCCCTGGCGCTGTCCTGCAGGGGAGCCCCCCTCCAGGCTGTGGGGGCGGGGGGGGGGGCTGGGCAAGGAGGGAGGAGTGGGGGAGAGGTCTGACCGCTAGTAACCTCCCCTGTCACAGCAAAGAGCAGCCTCCTCTCCCATCAGCCTCTGCTGTGTGCCAGGTGGGAGCTTACACGCTGGGGTCACGTGTCCCAGCCGCCTCACCTACTTACCCCTTGCAGACGGGCTGGGGCAGGTAGGGCAGGAAGGAATTGCCTGAGAAAGAAGCAGCGGGGAGCCCAGGGCTGCTCTGGGAAGCTGTGCTTGAGGTCTGTGGGGGAGAGACTGCACCTGTGCGGAGAAGGTGCCTCAGGAGCCCTGGCCGGTGTTGGTCAGTGGATAGAGCGTTGGCCTGCGGTCTGGAGGGTCCTGGGTTCTATTCCCGGTCACGGGCACCTGCCAGGGTTTCGGGCTCGATTCCAGGGTGGGGCATGCAGACAGCCGATCCATGATTCTCCCTCATCATTGATGTTTCTCTCTCTCCCTCTCCCTTCCTTTCTGAAATCATTAAAAAAATATATTTAAAATAATAATAAAGGCAACACGACTGACACCGCTTTTCTAAAAAATAAAATAGAATAAAAATCAATGGGAAAATATCCTCGGGTGAGGATTGAAAAAGAACAAGACGCCCCAGGTGGCGCATGTCCGGCAGCCGCGCCCCGCACGGGCAGTGCGGTCCCCAAGGCCCGTTCGCGGGAGGTCGGGCCCTGCGGCTGGAGCGCGGGGCTGCGGGTCCGCTCAGCCGGAGCTGCGGGCAGGCGCCCCGCCAGCCCTGCCCGCCCCACCGCTTCCTCGCCTCAGCGGGGCGGGGCGGATGGCGGCCGACCCCGCTTTCCAAGCCTTCTCGCCTAGTTCGGGGATTCCGGGCCCAGACCCAGGACGGCGGCTGGCGGGGCGCGGGTGCCGACCGGCCGACAGCTCCACCGTCCCGAGCGGGTTGGGATCCATCCCCCCCCCCGCCCCCTGCCGCCGCCGCCCATCGTCCGGTCCAATGCGGCACCTGTCCCCGCGCGCCCAGCTCTGCCCGCCCGCCTGCCCCACGCGCCCTCCGCCGCCAGCCTGCCCGCCCGGGTCCCCGCCGCGCGCTCAGGCCGCGTGGCCGGCGCCGCTCGCCTCCTCCGCGTCACCCCGCCCCGCGCTGCGGGCGGCGCCGGCCCTTTAAGGACGCGGGGCCGGGTCGGTGCTCCGAGGGGAGCGCGTCGCCTGGCGGGTCGGGAGGACGGGCCGGAGGACCCGGGTCGGGAACCCCGTGCGCGTAGCCCCGCGGCGCAGGGCCCGACCTCCCCACGCAACCCGGGATCCCCCGCCCCCGGGGGCCCCCCGCGCCCGCCCCGCCCCGCTCCGGCCCGCGCTGCGGGGACGCGGCGCCGGATCGGGTGCCCAGCCCGGAGGCCCCATCCCCGGCCGTGACCGCGCGGAGCATCCGGCCCGGCCCGCCCGGGGCGCCTCAAGGTGACGCGGCGCGCGGGGTGGGGGGCTCGGGGTGCCCGGGTCTGCGGGGATCGCTCGGGGCGCGCGACGCGGGGCGCCGGCGGGAGGGGCCAGGGCGCTACGCCCGGGACGGGGTGGAGCCTCCAGCCCCCGCTCCCCCGGCCCGCCCGGCGCCCACCTGCACCCCGACCTCCCGGCGGTCACCCTCCCGCCGCCCAACCGGCCCATCCCCGGTGCCGCGGGGGACATTGGAGCCGCCGGAGGAGGGCCGGGCCGGGCCGGGCTGGGCTGCGGGTCCGAGGCGAGGTCGGGGCTGCACCTGGTGCGGGGCGCGGAGCGGGCGAGGCTCTGGCGGCGGGGAGCGGGGTGCGTCCGCTGGAGAGGGAGGCGGGGTGCGGGGCGGGAGCGGCATTAGCAACGGGGGCTCTGACCGGGCCTGGGTCCCCCGCACTGAGCAGGCCCCGCACCGCAGGCGATGGCGGCGAAGGCCCTGGAGGCCGCGGGCTGCGGGCTGGGAGCCGGGGCTGTGGCCGCGGCCGGGGCGCTGGAGGCCGGGCCGGAGCCCCCCGTGCTGACCGCGCCCCTGAAGAAGGTGGAGAACCACATCACCGAGGCGCAGCGCTTCTCCCACCTCCCCAAGCGCTCGGCCGTGGACGTGGAGTTCGTGGAGCTGTCCTACTCCGTGCGCGAGGGGCCCTGCTGGCGAAGGCGCGGTAGGGAGAAGGGGGGCCTGCGGGTGGGGGAGCAGGTGGCGGGAAGCGGGGGCCCCCGCGCCCCGCAATGAGCAGGAGGCCTGGGTGTCCCCCCTGCGAAGCCTGCCCCGCGGGCACACGGAAACCTCAGCCCCTCACTGAGTGGAGGTGCCGGGTCTGGGTCTCCCCACGTGGGAGCTCCGGGAGGCACTAGGTTTCCTTGGTCACCGACGCTTCCCGCCTCTCGGTGGCTACTATGCCCTCTGGTCACTAGGAGTTTTATTTTTAGGGAGGATTCTTGCCTTTGAGGGCCCGCATGAGGAAGTGTGTGTGTGTGTGTGTGTGTGTGTGTGTGTGTGTGTGTGTTCTCAGTGTTTAGCAAATAACCTTGTACCTCTCGAACACTGCTAGTTTTAAAAAATATGTTTTTATTGATTTCAGAGATGAAGGGAGAGGGAGAGCGATATAGAAACATCAATGAGAGAAACATCCATCGCTGCCTCCTGCACACCCCACACTGGGGATCAAGCCCGAAACCCCGGGCATGTGTCCTGACCAGGAATTGAACCCGGGACCCCCTGGTGGGTGAGATGATGCTCAACCACTGAGCACACGGGCCAGGCAACACTGCTAATCTTTAAAGATGTTCTCCTTCCTGAATCTTACGCCATTCTTGCCGAAGCCTTCGCAGCAGGGAGGGTGATGGTTTGTCAGGACAGATGACATCCTGTTACTAATGTAAAAATGGAGGCCCGGGGACGCTGGGGCACTTGAGCCCGGTCACACAGCTGAAGCGGCAGAGCTGGGCCCAGAAGCCAGGTTTTACAGCTCTCCGTGCATTTTCCTGTCAGCATACAGAGTGTCCACACCGACAGAAAAACCTATAGGAGTTACTGAAACTGAGGACGTGCCCAGAAGCAGGATCGCAACAAATTGAGAAAATGTTTCGGTCTTTTCATGCATTTAGAGTCAAAGGAGAGAGACCGTAAGGAGGGTGACATCGGGAAGTGGAAGAAAGCAAGGTGGGAAGTCTCTGGAAGTTAGCATTTACAGTGCGTAGAAATGGCAGCAAGATCACAGCGAGGACTTTGGGAGCCTTCGGGTCTGAGAACGCGGGTCCTCCTAGCATCTGTGTCTGAGGTGCTACCCTGCGTGCGATGTAACAGTGGGCAGGGCTCACGCAGGGAGAGTCACCGACGCCTGCCCAGGCAGGGGATTTATGGCCAGATCAGCCTGTGAAGTTCCTCTTAGTCACTGAGCTGTCAGGCCTGCCACGTGACCCCCTGAGCTTGTCAGGCTTACTGCGAAGCCCCCTCTTTTGCTCACAGTTGTTTTCTCTCTCTTAACCTCCCCCTCAGGACATGTGGGTGAGGTCTGGGGCTCTGAGCGCCTCTGCACCCTGGCCACCCCCCACATCTCCTGCCCTGGGCCAGTGGGCTAGGATGGTGTGGGTGGGGAGTGAAGCTGGGACGTTGTTCTCTGAGGTTGAAGAATAGATCTCCAGGTCTCAGAATTCCCTCCCTCACTCCAGGGAGCGACCCAGAGGTCACAGGGCACGAGCCAATGGAAACGGAGGCACGTGGGCTCCCTGCTCAGCACCCTGTCCCTAAGCAGCCTCTCTCAGCTCTGAGACCAGCTCTGGGCACAATGAGGGGTAGCTGTTATTTCCTTAGCCTTCTCATTTCTGCAGTTTTAGGGAGAAGTGAAGATGAAAAGGAACGGTAGTAAGATGGCCCAGCTCTCTGGTTGCTTCAACCACCAGCACAAAACTGGCGCCCTCGCCTGGTCCTTCACGCCTCTGACCTTGCAGCCCCGCTTTGCTCTACTGTCCCTTCTGCTGACTCTCAGCCTTGCCCCTTTCTCTGCCCTCTGTCCTCTCTCTAGCTCCTCTTTTCACTCGAATCTCTCTCTTTCTCTAAAGGGCAGAAAGTGATTGCAGGTAGGCAGAGAGGGGAAAAGCAAGGGGTGTGGAGAGAGGTAAGGATTTCTCACCAGTCTTCCCTAATTATATGTGACGTTTCTTGGTTTTCAAACACTTTTTTAAACTTAAAAAAAAAATTCCTCAGCTGAGGCTATGTTTTTATTGATTTTAGAGAGAGAGGAAGGGAGAAGGAGAGAGGAAAACAGGTGAGAGAAACATGGATTGGTTCCTTCCTGTACTGGGGATCGAACCCACAACCTAGATATGTGCCCTGACTAGGAATCAAACTTGCAACCCTTCAGTGAATGGGACTGTGCTCCAACCAACTGAGCCACACCAGCCAGAGCAAAATACTTTTTTTTCCCCATTGATTTTTTTTAGAAAGAGTGGAAGGAAGAGAGGGAGGGAGGGTCACAGAGAGAGAAACATCAAATGTGAGAGAGACACATCGATTGGTTGCCTCCCGCACATGCCCCACCCACGCCATGATTGGACCTGCAACCCAGGTATATGCCCTTGACTGGGAATCAAACTCCCACCTTTTGATGGACAGGCCAGCACTCTAACCACTGAGCACACCAGCCAGGGCCAGGGCAAAACACTTTTTTTTCTTTTTTAAAATAAATCTTTATTGTTGAAAGTATTATATAGGTTCTCCTCCCCCGCTTCCCCATTAACCTCTTCTAGCCCGCTCCCGTCCGCCCCCTGCCCTCCGGCCCTTACCTCCCCATCGTCTGTGTCCATGGGTTATGCATGTATGCATACAACTTCATTGGTTGATCTCTTAAAACACCTTTAAATTAATTATCTCAATATTCACGATTATCTCAATATACCCTTGGTGGGAGATATTACTATTTTTACTTCATAGTTAAGGACGTGGAGCCTCTGGAAGATTAAGTGACTTAAAATTGCAAAGAGAGTTAGTGAGGTGGGACTAGAACTTTGGCTCTCTACAGGCCCCTTCCATGCTGAGTAGTTATGGTCCAGCAGGAATCCCAGCCGTGGGCCCCTAGCCACTTGTAAGGTATGTGGCCTTGGAGGCCGGCGTGGCTCAGTGGTTGAGTGTGGACCTACGAACCAGGAGGTCACGGTTCGATTCCCAGTCAGGGCACAGGCCGGGGTTGTGGGCTCCATCCCCAGTGGGCAGCCCATCAGTGATCCTCTCTCATCATCGATGCTTCTCTCTCTGTCCCTCTCCCCTTCTCTCTGAAATCAATAAAAATATTTTATAAAAAAGAGATGTGACCTTGGGAAGGCTGCTTACCTCTCCTGGCCTCACTGTCCTCGTCTGTCAGCTGGGATGATAGGGTGCCCCCCCCCCCCCCACACACACACACACTTGTTGCGAAGCTCCGAGGCCTGTGGAAATGCTCTGTGGAAGGCAAGTGGAAGGCGCCTGAACCAGGCGTCAGCGTCAGCCCAGTGCCTGGCTGTGATGAAAGGGGGAAGCTCAGTATTCCCAGCTTCTCCCCTGCCGAAAAAACCGCTTCCCTGCGTGTCTCGGAAAGGCGTGTGCTGAAGCACAGGCGCGTGCCTTCCGATCGGCGATGTGATGACCGAGGCCAGCCGAGCCCGGAGCCCATGACCTCTCCTCCCCCAGGAGCAGCTGTCCTGTGACCTGGGGGGCGGGGCGGGGGTGGGGGCAGAGTCACTGGGTATCCCCGGGCCCCAGTGGCTTCATCTTTGTTGCTACAGCAGCAAGAAAGGTAATGTTTGTAAATGAACTTAAAAGGCTTTCCTATTAGAGTTTTTGTAGTATTTATTTTTCTAAGTGCTGTATATCAACTAGTTTAAATCACTAAACGGGTGCTTTGGGGATGTGAGCCAAAGGGGCAATATTTTTCTGAGAGATTTTCTTATCACAACCTGGATCCCAGCTATAGATCCGATGGATAAAACCGAATGCTTTGTTTTTTGTTGTTGTTTTGTTTTTGCACCGGTGCCCGCCCCACTCCCCACCCCCGCCGCACAGGGCCAAGGGGAGGCTGACCAGGTTGGTTTTGATCTGATAAATGTACGCATCTCCCCGCCCCCCCCCCCCGCCCCGGGGGGGTCAGCACCCCTCCGCATGTTTAAAACTGAGTGCTTTGAATATCCTAGGAGCCACTGCCATCTTTTTCTTTTTCTTTTTAACTTTCAAATTTTCACCAATTTCTTCATTCAGGTTGCGTTATCAACTGAGGAAAATGGAATTAGCCTAGCCCAGATTTAGCCTTGGATTTACTTTGGAAGGTAGTTGTTGCCTCCCGAGATGGTAACCATGGCGGGTGGAGGACACTCAGAAAGGTGACAGACGTGAATTGTGAAGCACCAGCCAGGCAGGTGGTGCTCTCAGGACCCACAGTGGGCAGCGCTGTCCCCTCTGATGGCAAGCAGAGCAGGCCACGCCCACCTCATTGGCTCCGTCCTTCTCTCCACCCCTTGTCTCACCAGGAGACCCCCGCCCCCGCCCCAGTCACTGCCCTCTGCTCCCTGGATTGTATTACAGAGATGTGCCTGTATGGGAGAGCTTTTCCTCCCAGAGCCTGGAGGACTTCTGCCTCCCCTTACCATTTTGAAATCTGCTTTTCCTTCAAAACTTAGTGCAAATACCACCTCTTCCATGAAGCCATTCCTGATTTCCCCTTGCCCTCCACCCTGATCAGTCCCATTGTCTGCATCTGCATTGTGCATTATTTATACTTTAAAAAAATACATTTTTATTGCCCAGCTGGGCATGGCTCAGGGGTTGAGTGTTGATCCAGGAACCAAGAGGTCACAGTTCAATTCCCGACCAGAGCACATGCCCGGGCTGCAGGCTCGATTCCCATAGGGGGCATGTAGGAGGCAGCTAATCAATCATTCTCTCTCATCATTGATATTTCTCTCTCCCTCTCCCTGGATCTCTGAAATCAATAAAAATATACACATGTATTTATATATGTATCCCTTGCTGGGGACTGAGCCTGCAGCCCGGGCATGTGCCCTGACGGGGGTGAACCAGTTACTTCCTGGTTCACGGGCCGACACTCAGCCACTGAGCAACAGCGGCCGGGCATATGCTTTCGTTACAACCCTTACAGATTTTTTCTCAGATATTTTTTACGTAGATTGTGAGATTCTTGAGTACAGAAATGTGTCTTCCTCATTGTTTTGTCCAGTCTGGAATATAGTAGATATCAATAACATTTGTCAAATGGAATTAATAATATGATGTCACCTTTTTAGCGGGCTGCATACCAAACACTGTCATATGCTTTACATAGATTATTTCATTGGATCTTTTTTTTTGATTGATTGATTACACTTGCACATCCCTTACTGGGGATTGAGCCTGCAACCTGGGCATGTGCCCTTGACTGAAATAGAACCTTGGACCCTTCAGTCTGCAGGCCGATGCTCTCTCCACCGAGCCACACCAGCTAGGGCTGGAGCTAGAATCGAACCTAGATTCACCTGACTCTACCCAGTGTCTTTCTGCCTTCCGATGAGTGAGTGAAGGTGAGCTTTTACTGGGCTGTGTTAGGGGCTGCAGATCCAAGCCCGGGGCAGAGCGCCCACAGAGAAGACGGCCTTTCAGAACGAGGCCCAGTCTCTGTGAACACATGTCCGTGGAGCAAACACTAGGGAACATCTAGTTGCCAGACAGTCTGCCGAGGCTACAAAGATGAGGAGGACAAGACCTGCCCCAGGAGCTCACTGGCTGAGGGGCTGGAGGGGGGCGGGGGGGCGACGGGCACAAGCAAATACCAGCCATGCCGGCGGTGAGAGGTGCTCCGGGTACCCAGGGGCCACCCAGCAGCTTGGGCTGGGTCCGTGGGAAAGCCCTCTGGAGGGGGTGAGAGCGTGACTGACGGATGTCTGTAACCTCGACCCCTCCCCGTGCCCAGCCATGAGATGTGGGGTTGTCCCATGGCTTTCAGAAGAGCATTGTCACCTCTGGTACTTTTTTTAAAAAAAAAATCTATTTGTATTGATTTCAGAGAGGAAGGGAGAGGGAGAAAGAGAGAGAAACATCAATGATGAGAGGGAATCACTGATCATCGGCTGCCTCCTGCACACCCCTCACTGGGCATGGAGCCTGCAACCCAGGCATGTGGCCTTGACCAGAATGGAACCCGGGACCTTTCAGTCCACAGGCCTACACTTTAGCCACTGAGCCACACTGGCCAGGGCCGGGCTCACTGCTGGTACTTTAATCCTCCCCCGTCCTCCCCGATTCACACTGAGCGAGGGCTGTCCATTGCCCTGACAGTCATGGTGGCTTCCCCAAGCCCGGAGGCCTCTGCTCACTCCAGCCCTTACCCAGCATTCCCCGCTCCATCACTGCAGGTTATAAGACCCTCCTCAAGTGCCTATCGGGTAAATTCTGCCGCCGGGAGCTAATTGGCATCATGGGCCCCTCAGGGGCTGGCAAGTCCACGTTCATGAACATCTTGGCAGGATACAGGTGAGGATGATGCTGGGTGGAGTGGGGGCAGGGCCCAGGGGGGAGGACGCCCCCCACGGGAGCCCAGCAGGTGTCTGAAGCAGCCTTGACCCCCACCCCCAACGACGTCCCTGCAGGGAGTCGGGAATGAAGGGGCAGATCCTGGTCAACGGGAGGCCGCGGGAGCTGAGGACCTTCCGCAAGATGTCCTGCTACATCATGCAGGACGACCTGCTGCTGCCGCACCTCACCGTGTGGGAGGCCATGATGGTGAGGCTGGCGGCCCTGCTCCCACCGCCCCTCCGTCCCCACCCTCCTCCTGGGCTGAGGGCCGGGGCCTCCTCTCACACAGCTGACCCGCCTGTGCTCTGGGCCTCAGGTCTCTGCGAACCTGAAGCTGAGTGAGAAGCAAGAGGTGAAGAAGGAGCTGGTGAGTGGGGCAGGGGAAGGTAGGGATGGGACGGCCATCCTTTTTGTTGCTACTGTGTCCTGCGGCACTGAGTTGGGGGGTGGAAGAGTGGTTACAAGGCTGGCGCCCTGGACTTAAGGGAGATGCTTACGTTGGGGTGGGCCCAGCCTGGCCAACGTGGCTCAGTGGTTGAACATCAACCTATGAGCCGGGAGGTCATGGTTCGATTCTGCAGTCAGGGCACATGCCCAGGCTTGGTCCCCACTAGGGGGCGTGCAGGAGGCAGCTGATCAGTGATTCCCTCTCATTGATGTTTCTATCTCTCCCTCTCCCTTCCTCTCTGAAATCAATAAAAAAATTAATTTTAAAAATAAATAAATAAATTGGGGTGGTGCCCAGGGAAGCAGAGACACTGAAGCTGATCTGGGGTTGGGCGGGGCTGGGCAGGTGACGGAGATCCTGACGGCGCTGGGCCTGATGTCCTGCTCCCACACGAGGACAGCCCTGCTCTCGGGCGGGCAGAGGAAGCGCCTGGCCATCGCCCTGGAGCTGGTCAACAACCCGCCGGTCATGTTCTTCGATGAGCCCACCAGGTAGCCCTCCCCTCCCTGCCTGCGCTCACGCTGGAGGCTGCACCTGTTTGGCTGTGGAAACCAGGACCTGCCCTCAGCCTCCTGGGCCAGGATGAGGCCGACGCCTCTCTCTCCCTGCCAGGCCCGTGGCTGCCGCCGCCGCCCTCACAGGCAGAAACCCTTCCTCCTTGCCTGATGCCTCCATCTCCTTCTCTCGCCACAGCCAGTCACCAAGTCCTGCAGATTCTACCTCCTTCTCCACCTCTCAGATTCACCCTAGCCCAGCCGTGGGCAAACTACGGCCCGCGGGCCGGATCCGGCCCGTTTGAAATGAATAAAACTAAAAAAAAAAAAAGACCGTACCCTTTTATGTAATGATGTTTACTTTGAATTTATATCAGTTCACATAAACACTCCATCCATGCTTTTGTTCCGGCCCTCCGGTCCAGTTGAAGAACCCACTGTGGCCCTCGAGTCAAAAAGTTTGCCCACCCCTGCCCTAGCCCCTTCTTAGTGCCAGTGCTAAGTTCAAGGCACCATCAACCATTGCCTGCATTTCTGCAACCTGCTCCTATGTGCTCACCTTCAGTCTCTCCCGGCCCATCCTCCCTCCAAGCCGCCACCGCAATGATCTTTCTAAAACCCAAGTCCAGCCCTGGCCGGTGTGGCTCAGTGGATAGAGCGACAGCCTGCAGACCAAAGGGTCCCGGGTTTGATTCCAGTCAAGGGCATGTACTTCGGTTGCAGGCTCCTCCCGGGCCCTGGTCAGGGCTCCTGCAGGAGGCAACCAGTCGATGTGTTTCTCTCACATCGATATTTCTCTCTATCTTTCCCTCTCTCTTCCACTCTCCCTAAAATCAATGGGAAAATATCCTCAGGTGAGGATTTAAGAAAAAAAAGCCAAGCCTGGCGATGCTCTCTCCCCCACTGACAACATGTATGATGCCATTTGCCTTCAGGATCAAGTCAGAGGACTCACAAGGCCCTGCTCTGACCTCACCTCTTGCTTCACGCTGTCTTGTATGTTTGCTCTAATAATATCGAGTTGCTTAGAATTCCTGAGTCGGGCCATGTGATTCATGCCTCTAAGCTCTGCACGTGCTGTGTCTTCTGCCCGGAATGCCCTTCCCCACCACGCCTGCCTTTGCACCTTCACCTGGCTTAGTGTGTTCTCCTTCCAGAACCTTCTCTCACTTCCCTGCAATACCCTCATGCCGAGGGCTGAATACTCCACCTTTCACTCCGTGTTTCCACAGCACGTTCCACGTGATTGCGAAGGATCGTGCACTTCTCTGCCTCCTCTTTATTCCTCATTGTAATCCCGGTGCCTGGCATTCTACAGCTGCTCAATATATGCTTGTCGCATTGGGCCTCTTGGTCCCTCCAGATGTCTGGATCATAGTGTGTACAGGGTGGAGGGGCTGGCCCTTCCTGCCAGCCCCATCCCCTGTATAGTAGCTGTCCCACCCCAAACAGTCCCTTCTCCAGGCTCTGCCCAACTCACACGCCTCCCCTCCCTGGGGCCTCTCTCTGGACAGTGGTCTGGACAGCGCCTCCTGCTTCCAGGTGGTGTCCCTCATGAAGTCGCTGGCCCAGGGTGGCCGCACAGTCATCTGCACCATCCACCAGCCCAGTGCCAAGCTCTTTGAGATGTTTGACAAGGTGAGTGTCTCTGGCCTCAGACGCCCGGCCTGCGATGGGGCGAGGGAAGGGCCCACAGCGGTGCTGCCGGCCGCCTGCACCACGGGCTTGTCTTCTCACCCTCCTCTCCGCCTCAGCTCTACATCCTGAGCCAGGGCCAGTGCATATTCAAGGGCCTGGTCACCAAGCTGATCCCCTACCTGAAGGGCCTGGGCTTGCACTGCCCCACCTACCACAACCCAGCCGACTTCAGTGAGTGGGCCAAGGGCCAGGGTGGGGGGTCAGGGCTGGGTGCTGAGGGGGCTGAGGTGGGGGCTGGGGTCACGCTCCCCGCCTTCACCATACACCCAAGAGGGGCCGGCTTGCCCTTGGGAACTGAGGCTAGAGCTTCCCCGCGCACCCCGCTCGGTGTCCCCCAGTTATCGAGGTGGCCTCTGGCGAGTACGGAGACCTGAACCCCATGCTGTTCCGGGCCGTGCAGAACGGGCTGTGCGCCATGACCGAGAAGAAGGGCCTTGAGAAGAATGAGGCCCCTGCCCCCTGTCCGCCTTGCGCTCTGGTGAGTAGGGGTGAAGAGGGCAGAGTGCAGAGTGGAGGCGAGGGGAAGGGGTCAGGGTAAAGGCCTGCCAAGGCGGCTGCTCAGAGGCACCGCAGCCCGGGGCTGGGAGCGCCTGGGCCTGGGGATGGCCACGGGAGCAGCTGCCTCGCTGGCGTGTGGAGCCTCTCCGCGCTTCTGCTTTCTCCTGCACTCACTCCCCCCGTCAGTCTTTGAAATTTGTATTATTTTTTTAATCCTCACCCAAGGGTATTTTTCATTGCTTTTAGATGGAGTGGAAGGGAGGGGGTAGAGAGGGAGAGAAAAATACCGATGTGAGAGAGACATCAACAGGCGGCCTCCCGCGTGCGACCCTATCAGGCTGGGGTTTGAGCCTGCGTCCCAGGCACATGCCCTGGACCAGGAATCGAACCCGTGCCCCGTCAGTGAGGGCTGGTGCTCTAACCACTGAGCAACTGGCCAGGGCTTCTTCAGGGAATGTTTGCTGAGCGTCTCTATTGTCCACGTGCCAGTACAGTGCCCCCGGGAAGCCGACCGATGCTGCCTCTGGCCTGTGGCCGGCGGCGCTGGCTGTGCTCCAACCTGGAGGTGCTGAGGCGGCTCCCAGGGCTGCGGGGTGATGAAGATCATCACCAGTGGCAGCAGCTGGCACCACTGGTGTCTCCTCAGCGCCAGCTCTCCTCCTTCAGTGAGCTCCTGCTGCCCCGCTATTATCATTGTCACAGAGCATTACTGTGGAAGAGAAGGCCTGGGGTGTTGCTCAGGGGTTGATTGAGTGTTGACCTGTGAACCAGGAGGTTGAGGTTCGATTCCCGGTCAGGGCACATGCTGGGGTTGAGGGCTCGATCCCCAGTGTGGGGCGTGCAGGAGGCAGCCGATCCATGATTCTCTCTCATCATTGATGCTTCTCTCTCTCTCTCCCTCTCCCTTCCTCTCTGAAATGAATAAAAATACATTTTTTTAAAAAGTGGTGGCATAAAGGTATTATACCCTTAGAATAAATGTGTGTGTTTTTGTTAATCCTCACCCGAGGATATTTTTCCATTGATTTTAGGGAGAGTGGAAAAGGGGAAGACAGAGAAACATCGATGTCAGAGAAACACATCAATTGGTTGCCTCCTGCACCAGCCCTGATGAGGGCCCAGGCTGGAGGAGCCTGTCACCAGTGTATGTGCCCTTGACCAGAATCAAACCTGGGACCCTTTGGTCCGCAGGCCGACACTCTAGCCACTCAGCCAAACTGGTGAGGGTAGGGTAAATGTTTTATGATGGATTCAAGAGAAGAAGTGACTGACCTCCTGGGGGCCCTCCTGGGTGTTGTTGGCTCCCTGTCTCCTCCATTCCAAGTCACTATCCCTCTTCCTGTCTCTCTGTGTCTCCTTGGGATTCACGCCCTAAGGCCGCTTCCCGGCACACAGCTCCGTGGTGATTAGTCCTCCTCCCGTAGATGCGGAGGCCCTGCCCTGGGGATGGCCCTGCCCTGGGGAAGGCCCTGCCCTGGGGATGGCCCTGCCCTGGGGAAGGCCCTGCCCTGGGGATGGCCCTGCCCTGGGGAAGGCCCTGCCCTGGGGATGGCCCTGCCCTGAGGAAGGGCCCGGGTTCTGTGCCTCCACTGGGTGCGCGGTGGCTGGGTGGGTGGGTGGGTGTGTGGGTGGGTGTGTGGGTGTGTGGGTGTGTGGGTGGCTGGGTACACAGTGGCTGGGTGTGTGGGTGGGTGGGTGTGTGGGTGGGTGGGTGTGGATGGCTGGGTGTGTGGGTGGCTGGGTGTGTGGGTGGGTGTGTGGGTGGCTGGATGTGTGGGTGTGTGGGTGGCTGGATGTGTGGGTGTGTGGGTGGCTGGGTGTGTGGGTGGCTGGGTGTCTGGGTAGCTGGATGTGTGGGTGTGTGGGTGTCTGGGTGTGTGTGTGTGTGGGTGTGTGGGTGTGTGGGTGGCTGGGTCTCTGGGTAGCTGGATGTGTGGGTGTGTGGGTGGCTGGGTGCACGGTGGCTGTGTGTGTGTGTGTGTGTCTGGGTGTGTGTGTGTGTGTGTCTGGGTGTGTGTGTGTGTGTGTGTGTGTCTGGGTGTGTGTGGGGGGTGTGGGTGTGTGGGTGGCTGGGTGCACGGTGGCTGTGTGTGTGTGTGTGTCTGGGTGTGTGTGTGTGTCTGGGTGTGTGTGTGTGTGTGTGTCTGGGTGTGTGTGTGTGTGTGTCTGGGTGTGTGTGTGTGTGTGTGTGTCTGGGTGTGTGTGTGTGTGTGTGTCTGTGTGTGTGTGTGTCTGGGTGTGTGTGTGAGTGTGTGTGTGTGTCTGGGTGTGTGTGTGAGTGTGTGTGTGTGTCTGGGTGTGTGTGTGGGGGGGTGTGGGTGTGTGGGTGGCTGGGTGCACGGTGGCTGGGTGCACGGTGGCTGTGTGTGTGTGTGTCTGGGTGTGTGTGTGTGTGTGTGTGTGTGTCTGGGTGTGTGGGGGTGTGTGGGTGTGTGGGTGGCTGGGTGCACGGTGGCTGGGTGCACGGTGGCTGTGTGTGTGTCTGGGTGTGTGTCTGGGTGTGTGTGGGGGGTGTGGGTGTGTGGGGGTGTGTGGGTGTGTGGGTGGCTGGGTGCACGGTGGCTGTGTGTGTGTGTGTGTGTCTGGGTGTGTGTGTGGGGGGGTGTGGGTGTGTGGGTGGTCACTGGACCCAATTTCCTCTCCCCAGGAAGTGGACCCCATCGAGAGCCACAGCTTTGCCACCAGCACTCTCACTCAGTTCTGCATCCTCTTCAGGAGGACCTTCCTGTCCATCCTCAGGGACACGGTGAGGCGTGGGGGGGGGGGGGTAGCGCAGGCTGAGCCTTGTGGGCACAGGATCCTAGCAGCGCCCTCGGGGCCCCTGTGACGGAGAGGGCAGCTCTGTGCTCCTGCCCCAGCGCGGCTGCCCGTCCCAGCCCGTGACCACCCCCCTCCTAGCGATGGCCTTGTCCACAGGTCCTGACCCACCTGCGGTTCGTGTCCCACGTGGTGATTGGTGTGCTCATCGGCCTCCTCTACCTGCACATCGGAGACGACGCCAGCAAGGTCTTTAACAACACGGGCTGCCTCTTCTTCTCCATGCTCTTCCTCATGTTCGCTGCCCTGATGCCCACCGTGCTCACCTGTGAGCAGAGCTGCCCGGGCAGGGGCAAGGGTGCTGGGCAGGGGAGGGGTGCTGGGCAGGGGGGTGCTGGGCAGGGGCGGGAGTGGCTGGTCAGGGGTGGGGGTGCTGGGCAGGGGCGGGGGTGCTAGGCAGGGGCAGGGGTGGCTGGGCAGGGGAGGGGTGCTGTCAGGGGAGGGGTGCTGGGCAGGGGCGGGAGTGGGTGGGCAGGGGTGGGGGTGCTGGGCAGGGGCAGGGTGCTAGGCAGGGGCAGGGGTGGCTGGGCAGGGGAGGGGTGCTGGCAGGGGAGGGGTGCTGGGCAGGGGCGGGAGTGGGTGGGCAGGGGTGGGGGTGCTGGGCAGGGGCAGGGTGCTAGGCAGGGGCAGGGGTGGCTGGGCAGGGGAGGGGTGCTGGCAGGGGAGGGGTGCTGGGCAGGGGCGGGAGTGGGTGGGCAGGGGTGGGGGTGCTGGGCAGGGGCAGGGTGCTAAGCAGGGGCAGGGGTGGCTGGGCAGGGGAGGGGTGTGGGCAGGGGAGGGGTGCTAGGCAGAGGTGGGGTGCTGGGCAGGGGCAGGGTGCTGGGCAGGGGCAGGGTGCTAGGCAGGGGCAGGGGTGGCTGGGCAGGGGAGGGGTGTGGGCAGGGGAGGGGTGCTAGGCAGAGGTGGGGTGCTGGGCAGGGGAGGGGTGTGGGCAGGGGCAGGGTGCTAGGCAGGGGCAGGGGTGGCTGGGCAGGGGTGGGGTGCTGGGCAGGGGCAGGGGTGGCTGGACAGAGGTGGGGTGCTGGGCAGGGGCAGGGTGCTGGGCAGGGGCAGGGTGCTGGGCAGGGGCAGGGTGCTGGGCAGGGGAGGGGTGTGGGCAGGGGCAGGGTCCTGGCAGGGCGGGATCCTGATGGCTGCGTGCCCTCAGTCCCCTTAGAGATGGCAGTCTTCATGAGGGAGCATCTCAACTACTGGTACAGCCTCAAGGCCTATTACCTGGCTAAGACCATGGCCGACGTGCCCTTCCAGGTGAGCCTCTCCCTCCCACCTGCCCACCCCTTCCCTCCTGTCTCACTCCTTCCAGCCTTGCTTGCTTGCCTCCCTCCATCTTGTCACCCATTATCTTTTCCTTTACTTCTACTCACTTCAAAAATTGGCGGTGAGGACTTGCTGTGTTCCAGGCTCTGTGCCAGGCAGGACCCAGTAGTGAACAAGATGGATGGTTTTAAATATATATATATATATATACTAGGGGCTTGGTGCATGAAATTCATGCACCGGGGGGGGGGGGTGGGCGTTATCCCTCAGCCCAGCCTGCACTCTCTCCAATCTGGGACTCCCTCGGGGGATGTCCGACTGCTGGTTTAGGCCCGATCTGATTGGGCCTAAACCAGCAGTCGGACATGCCCCCTCACAATCCGGGACTGTTGGCTCCCAACCGCTTGCCTGCCTGCCCGCCTGATCACCCCCTAACCACTCCCCTGCCAGCCTGATAGACGCCTAACTGCTCCCCTGCTGGCTCGATTGCCCCCAACTGCCCTCCCCTGCCAGACCAGTCACCCCCAACTGCCCTCCCCTGATGGCCATCTTTGACCATATGGGACAGCCATCTTGTGTGAGGGTGTGAGGGTCAATTTGCATATTGCCTCTTTATTATATAGGCTATTTCTTTTTAAAATTTTTTATTTTTTTATTGATTTCAGAGAGGAAGGGTGAGGGAGAGAGAGATAGAAACATCACTGATGAGAGGGAATCATTGATCGGCTGCATCCTGCACGCCCCCCCGCCCCCCACTGGGGATCGAGCCCACAACCCGGTCATGTGCCCTTGGCTGGAATCAAACCCGGGACCCTTTAGTCCACAGGCCAATTCTCTGTCCACTGAGCAACACAGGCCAGGGCGACTCCGTGAATCTTACTTGAAGCGTAGAGGACAGTGCAGGCTCTGGAGCCCTGCTGCTGGGATCGCTGTGAGACACCGGGCAGGTCGCCGCATGTCCCTGCCTCAGAGTCCCATCTGTGAAATGGGATGATGACAGAATCGAGCTTGGGAACAGTTGTGAGAACTAAATGAGTTAATACATGTCAAGTACTGAGAATGGTGCATGGTACACACTCGAGTGTCCAATAACTGTTAGCTATTTGGGGCTTTGTTGCCCCCACCACCTGCTTCAAGCACTAGGGCCCCCAAAACCCATATGGCACCTTTGTGCAAATTAGTAAAAGGTGCCCCTTGCCCTGGCTGGTGTGGCTCAGTGGTAAAGCATTGTGGTTAAAGGGTCCCGGGTTCGATTCCGGTCAAGGGCTCATACCTTGGTTGCAGGTTCCCCGGCCCTGGTTGGGGTGCATGCAGGAGGCAACCAGTCGATGTGTCTCTCTCACATCCATGTTTCTCTGCCGCTCCCCCTCCCTTCCACTCTCTCTAAAAATAAATGGAAAGATATCCTCAGGTGAGGATTCACAACAACAACAACAAAGTGCCCCTTCCTCAGGGGGGTGCTGTGCTAGGCCCAGTGCCTTCGGCTGCCTCTTTTTTTTCGGGGGGGGGGGCCCTGCCTCTTGACCGATGTCCTTGTGCAGGGAACAGCCGGCATGACTGTACGTAGTAGGCTTAGTCCTTGCCCTTCAGGAGTTAGTAACTCATTCGGGACAAAACTCCCGTGTAGAATTAACTAATTAACAATGTGAGGCAGAAGCGCGTCGGGCGGGAGGGAGGTGGGAGCTCGGGGAGGAAGCTCTGCCTCCGCTGGTCTGAGGGCCTCGAGGAGGAGGTGCGCCTGGACGAGGCATGAGGGTCACATGGCCAGGGAGGAGGACACGTGACGGACGGCATGAACGGGAGTGCGAGGGCAGGACTGGGCCTGAGCATCCCAGGAAAAGCTGCTCTAGGGGTTCCTGCCTGGACGAAGCAGAGGGGCTGGCTGCTGTGCCCCAGCCCCCCCTGCCCGCCTGTGCCCCCCCAGGTGGTGTGCCCTGCCGTGTACTGCAGCATTGTGTACTGGATGACGGGCCAGCCCGCGGAGACCAGCCGCTTCCTCCTCTTCTCGGCCCTGGCCACGGCCACGGCGTTGGTGGCCCAGTCTCTGGGTCTGCTCATTGGAGCTGCCTCCAACTCCCTGCAGGTGGGAAAGCTGGCCCTGGGGCCCTGAGGGGAGGAGATGGGCGGCACAGGAGTGGGAGACCTGCAGGAAACCGGCTGGCCACCCTGTGATGGCCCTGTCCCTCCCGCCCCTCCAGGTGGCCACGTTTGTGGGCCCGGTGACCGCCATTCCTGTGCTCCTGTTCTCCGGCTTCTTTGTCAGCTTCAAGACCATCCCCACCTACTTGCAGTGGAGCTCCTACCTCTCCTACGTCAGGTCAGTGTGGCCCCGGCCTCCCAGGCCATCGCCCAGTGCTCCCACCGGTGGCCAGCCCCGGGCGGCAAAGTTCCATCTGCCCGGGGAGCAGTGACCTCCACGCGCCCCTGCTCTGATGGGCAGTGACCTCCACTCTGTCCCCTGCTCTGATGGGCAGTGACCTCCACTCTGCCCCCTGCTCTGATGGGCAGTGACCTCCACTCTGTCCCCCGTTCTGATGGGCAGTGACCTCCACTCTGTCCCCCGTTCTGATGGGCAGTGACCTCCACTCTGTCCCCTGCTCTGATGGGCAGTGACCTCCACTCTGTCCCCCGTTCTGATGGGCAGTGACCTCCACTCTGTCCCCCGTTCTGATGGGCAGTGACCTCCACTCTGTCCCCTGCTCTGATGGGCAGTGACCTCCACTCTGTCCCCCGCTCTCATGGGCAGTGACCTCCACTCTGTCCCCCGTTCTGATGGGCAGTGACCTCCACTCTGTCCCCTGCTCTGATGGGCAGTGACCTCCACTCTGTCCCCTGCTCTGATGGGCAGTGACCTCCACTCTGTCCCCCGTTCTGATGGGCAGTGACCTCCACTCTGTCCCCTGCTCTGATGGGTAGTGACCTCCACTCTGCTCCCTGCTCTGATGGGCAGTGACCTCCACTCTGACCCCCGTTCTGATGGGCAGTGACCTCCACTCTGTCCCCCGTTCTGATGGGCAGTGACCTCCACTCTGTCCCCCGTTCTCATGGGCAGTGACCTCCACTCTGTCCCCCGTTCTGATGGGCAGTGACCTCCACTCTGTCCCCCGTTCTGATGGGCAGTGACCTCCACTCTGTCCCCCGTTCTCATGGGCAGTGACCTCCACTCTGTCCCCCGTTCTGATGGGCAGTGACCTCCACTGTCCCCCGTTCTGATGGGCAGTGACCTCCACAGTCCCCTGTTCTGACACCCCTGCTCGCCTAGGTATGGCTTTGAGGGTGTGATCCTGACTGTGTACGGCCTGGGGCGCGGGGACCTGGCCTGCCCGTTCCAGGAGGAGCGCTGCCCGTTCCGGGAGCCGCAGAGCATCCTCCGCGCGCTGGATGTGGAGGACGCCAAGCTCTACGTGGACTTCCTGGTCTTGGGCATCTTCTTTCTGGCCCTGCGGCTGCTGGCATACCTCGTGCTCAGGTACCGGGTCAAGTCGGAGAGATAGAGCCTGGCCCCGCCTGTGCCCGGCCCCCGCAGCAGGCAGCCTGGATCCAGCCCTTTGGGACTGTTTTAACCTGTGGACTTGGACCCCGGGTGCTGGCCCAGCTCCCTGCCCTCTGCCCACTCCCCCCAGGCTGCGGCCTGGAGCGCGCTGCAGCCCTCCACACTTGCCCAGGAGTCTTCCAGGGTGATGTGGTGTGTAGCTTCCCCCCTTCTCGCTTCCATGCCTGCATGCAAACCCCGGGGCCGTCATGCTCCCTCCGGCCCTAGCACCCCTCTGCTGTCTGCCTGGGAGCCCCAGTTCTCCGCGCCCCACTTACAACTGACCAAAGTGGCCCCTCTGGGGGTCCCAACCACACACGTGTTGTAAACAGCTGTTACAAAGTGGAGGTCCAGGGCTGGGCCCTGATGGGGTCCCTGGAAGTCCCGTGTGGACGTTAGAATGGGTAGGAAGGGCTCTGGCAGACTCCCCCCCCCCCCCCCCCCCCCCCCCGGTGATGGGACAATCTGCTGGACGGAAGCTGGGTTTCTGTCTGCACCACCCTCCCAGTCCAGGGGATGGGAGCCACGTGGGGCCCTGGGATCCCCTTTCCCCTTCCCGCCCCTCTGGCCAGGCAGGGCCTGGTGGCATCTCTGCAATAACGTCTGTCTTGCCCGCCGCCCGGACTGCAGAACGCACTCCCCTCCGGGGTGAGTGGGAGAAGCCCAGGCCTCCCTCCTCTGCTCCCCCGCGGCCTGCATGCCCGCCTCTCAGGAGTCCAGGCACGGACCGTGACCAGGCCTCTCAGCCCTCACACCTGCTGTCCGCGGGGCTCAGAGGAACCGTGACGGTGGCCTGGTGCTGGCGGGCACCGCAGGGAGGGCAGCGCCACCCTCCTCCCGGGGTCCTGCTCTGACAGGAAGGATGAGGCTATGTTGTCCAGGGCATCTTCGGGTCTGTAGGTTCTACTCCCCAGGCTTCCCTTCCCCCCGAGCCAGGGGGGGCACAGGGCACTCGTCCCCTGGAGTTCAGGGCCTGACACAAGCACAAGCAGGGGCATCCATCGGCCTTGGCCACTGCCACCCGGGGCCCTGTGTGCCACGCTGGCTTCCTCACTCCTCCGTTCCTTCCTCAGCACGTGCTGCTCACTCACACTCTTGCCATCTCTCTACCCCCTGGACACACCCTGAGCTCCAGGGGTGAGACACCACACCTGGAGCGTGTCTGGCTTTTCTGGTGGGTCCAGGCTCATTCCATGTCTGATTTTCCTTCCCTAGGACTCTTTTCTTTTCTTTTCTTTTTTTTAAATATATATTTATTTCAGAGAGGGTGGGAGAGGGAGAGAAAGATAGAAACAGCAGTAATGAGAATCACTAATCGGCTGCCTCCTGCACACGCCCCACTGGGGATGGAGCCCGCAACCCAGGCATGTGCCCTGTTTACAGATGGACGCTCACCCCTGAGCCATCTCGGCCTGGCTGTTCCTTCCCTCTTATTACTGTGCATACACCGCTCCACCTTCTCTCACCTGCCGCAGGTTCTCCCCATCACACAGGATGCCAGTTGATTTGTGGGATTTCACTGTTATTAATAAAACCTATATTTATACAGTATGCAGTGTGTACATGTGTGTGGGTCTGGACCTGATACCATGGTCTGTGAGGGGTCTTCAAAGCACTGGACAAGAAGTTTGTGAGCCGTAGGGAGTCTGTGGCAGGGGAGGGTGAGTCCTAGGTGTATGTCAACTAGGAAATGTGTATCTGGTGCAATATCTAGGTCGTGTTTTACATCCTACAAATGCTTCCTGTTTATTATCTCAAGGGAGTCCATGATAATCCTGCATTATTCCTCATGGCAACCCATTTTGCAGATGGGAACGCTGAGACTTGGATTAAATCACTTGTCCAGGGACCCTTAGCTAATGAAGATGGACCAAGAACCAGGTCTTCTGCCTCTCTACTCCTCATCCTTGACATCAACCAATGACACTCATGGTGGGCCCGCTAGCCGTGTGGGTGCCCTGTGCCTGCTGCATGGGTGTGCTCTTACCAGAGGAATACACTTTCTCCTCAGAACTGACGGAGCCCTCCTGGTGCCCCTGGGGCGATGAGAAGTAGGCTCAAACCTGCAACCTAAGCCCTAGGATGAGAGTGGGAGACCACACTGAGCTCACCCCAGTTCTCCCCTCCTCTTCCTCTCTCCTTTCCTTCGGGGCCACACTTACGAGGGCTGAGCCATCAGCCATCAGGGCTGCAGATGGGTCTGGCAGCCTGAGCTTTGGAGTAGCTGTCCAGAAGTCCTTGTGGGCTGGCGGCAGGATGGCAAGAAGCAGATGTTGTCTCACCCGCATCCCTTCCGACCCTGAAGCTCGGGGACTGAAGGAAGGGACTGCACCCACCTGGCCAGCTGCGGGGAGCACCCTGGTTGTGCTCAGGGAGCTAATTGACTGGGGCTAGATTAGGGTCCCATCTAGGACTGACTGTGTATTTGCCTGGAGATGGACTAGCTTTGTTTCTTATGGGGGTGGAGGGTGGGAGTGGGAAATGGAAAGAAATCCAACCCCTGAAATCCTAGCTAGTTTTAGGGGCATTCTGGGTGCCACCTTCTCCCCGAAGTGATGCCAATATTTGTTGTTTTTTTAAAAAATTTACATATATATATATATTGATTTCAGAGAGGAAGGGAGAGGGAGAGAGAGATAGAAACATCAATGGTGAGAGAGAATCATTGATTGGCTGCCTCCTGCACACCTCCCACTGGGGATCGAGACCACAACCCAGCACGTGCCCTTGACTGGAATCGAACCCAGGACCCTTCAGTCCGCAGGCTGATGCTCTATCCACTGAGCCACACAGGCCAGGGCTCATGCCAGTATTTGGCTCTGTAAACTCAGAGAGCACAACATTTCACCATTAGATCGTTTTTCTTAAGATTCTTCAGCTTTACTCTTTCTCTTTGAAAATGCAAACACCCCTGAAAGACTAAAGCCACTATACATTCCCGTTTGTAAATTCCCTTGGTTGCTAAGGAGGTGAGCAGCCCATCTAGCGCCAGCGAAGGCCACACAGGTCCAGGGAGGGGGGCGGGGGGGGGGCGGCTGGCGTCTTTGCGAAGGGAGCTCGCTGCTTCCCTCTTTTACAGAAGAGGAAGCCCAGGGCTGGAGAAGTGACTTGCACAAGCTCTCAAGTTACAGTGCTCTCGCCACCGCCACGGAGAAGCACCTGCGATTTCTCCACCAGTCCCTGCCCCCAGATGGGGTGTAAACGCCCTCCCCCAGCCCAGCCCTGCGGCCGCCGGCCTTCCTGGCCTCCGAGATCACTGCCACACAGGCACCTGTCAGGGCTGTGTCAGATGCTGGAGGGCAGAGGCGACCCAGACTTCTCCCCAGCGCCTGGCACCTATCCTGAGGTCAGGTGACAGCACGCGCCCCAGCAGACCCAGAGGACTCCAGGCCACCCGAGGCCAGTCAAATCCTATGTTATTAAAAAGCTGACATGGCCCGACTGGTGTGGCTGAGTGTTGAGCGTGGACCTATGGACTAAGAAATCATGGTTCCATTCCCAGTCAGGGCACATGCTGGGTTATGGTATTGATCCCCAGTGGGGCTGTGCAGGAGGCAGCTGATCGATTTCCTCCCATCACTGGTATTTCTCTCTCTCTCCCTCTCTGAAATCAATAAAAAAAAAACCCAAAAAACTAAAACTTTACAAAAGCTGACAGGACTGTCATACCCGGGGGAAGGGAACCTGCTCTGAGCTGGGACAAGTCACTGCTGCCAGGGGCCCCTCTGCCTCACACGATGAGGTAAGGGGGGTGAAGCGAGAGGAGTCTCCAGGCCCAAAATGCCACATCAGCCCAAATTCATTGGGTGACTACTTCCCTCTCCCCAGCCCTTTCTACTCCCCTTTCAGAATACCTCTTACAATGCAAACGTGCCATTTCCCCTGCTGCCTGGAATTCCCTTCCTGGACTTCTTTCTTTTTTTAATCCTCACCTGAGAATATTTTCCCACTGATTTTAGAGAGCATGGAAGGGAGAGGGAAAGACAGAGAGAAATATCGATGAGAGAGAAACACATCATCTGGTTGCCTCCTGCATGCGCCCTGACCAGGGCCGGGGCTGGGGAGGAGCCTTTGACTGGAATCGAACCCAGGACCCTTCGGTCTGATGCTCCATCCACTGAGCCAAGCTGGTAGGGCCTGGACTTATTTCTTAGAATCCAGCTCAGCAGTATTCTCCTCTGCCAGAGGCAGTTAATGCCCCCCCATCCCCAGGACTTTCCTAAGCCCCTGTCTCCTCTGAAGGACCATCATCTGGGCCCCTGGAGGGGAGCTGCTGGAGTCTGTATGGTCCCTGCACCCCTTGTTCAGCACCACCCCAATACCATGTGTTCATCAGCACTGCCTTCGGTCTAGACCAGTGGTTCCCAGCCTTCTTCTGGCCATGCCCCACCTAAGCGCCTCTAAAATCCTGATGCCCCCGTGACATACAATTCTCATTCAAAAAGTGAGCTATTCACGTGCAGGAAGCCTAAAAGGCCATTAACTTGGTCTAAACAAGCTTCCAAAAAACAGGGCATCCATAAAAGAGAAAAATAAAAGAACAAAAGGACAGTTGAAGTACTGAGGAAGAAATTACTAAGAAATTATTGAAAAAAAAAATGAAGTGATATGAAAAAATAGAAAATGAAGTTTCAAAACATAATAGAGAACTGAAATGCATAAATATGTCAAAACATATATTTATATACTGTATATGAGGCCCCTAGAACCATAAGAAATGAAAAAATTCACTGTTAATAACTTATTTTCGAATTGCCCCCTTAACTATCAAATTGTGCCCCTGTGGGGCGTGTGCCCCACGCTGGGAACCGCTGGGCTACCTGAAGGGTGGCGACCACACAGCCCTGCCCCAGGAGCCCATGCGCTCCCCAGTGACACCTGTTCGTGCACACTGGCCGCGCGTGCTTGCATGTGGGCATGCCCTGCTGTGGTGGTGGGTGGCTCCTCCATCACGACAGGCCCGGGGTGTGTCCTGCATGGGAGCGGGTGGGGCTCTGAGGACCAGGAAGCTCCAGGGCTAGGCCGTGACTGGGTGCCACACAAGCCGCGCAGGTTGGGGTGGACGCGGCTGCTCTGGCCCCTTTCGTCCTCCTTCCTTGACCCAAGGGACCGGAAGCCGCGCAGAGGTCTGGTCTGCAGCGCCAGGTGCGGAAGGAAGGCGCCAACGAGCGCTTGACGGGGCCTCTGCCGGGAGGTAGGCTGCGGACTTGGAGAAGAGGCCAGAGGGAGGACCGCCTCGGCGCGGCGGGGCGCCCAGGGAGGCGCGACCCGATTCTGGTTCTGACTCTCGCTTCCCAGTCGGGCTCACCTGCGCGAGTCCTTGCCCCCTTCCATGCCGCGGCTCCTCCGGCTGTAAAATGGGCAAAACAACCAGCCCTCCCGGGAGGTGGTCGGTGAGGCCCCTGGGTGGCCTGGCGCTTGCAGCC